GGCGCGGGGGCCAAGCAGGGATGGGAGAGCGGGGGAAATCCTGCGGAAAAACCGAGCTAGGGGGGAGGGGGACTGGAGGGGAGAAGAGGGAGATCGACGGAGACTAGGGCCGGCCGCGCCGCTGCTGCCGCTGCCGCCCGACGGAAGCCCGGGGAAAGGAGGGAGCGGCCGAGGTGGGGGGGGGGCGGGAGAAGGGAGGAGGGAAGCAAATCCGGGTGAGGGGGGAATGAAGGCAGGAGAGGAGGGGAGAGGAGAGGAGGGGAGCGGGGCTGAGCAGAGGAAAGGCGCGAGCCTGCGAGATTCCGGCGGAGAGATGGAGGCAGCGGAGTGTTGCTGCAGAGGCTGAGGGCTGGAAGAGAGAGGGAGGGAGGGAGACAGGGAGGGAGGAAAGGAGAGGAGTGGAGAGGGGAGGGGAGAAGGAGCGCGGGAGGAGGAGGGGGCAGGGCAGAGGGACCCGAGCGGCTCCCGATCTGCGGGCGGCGCTGGGCAGCTCCGCCGCACGGCACCTGGCTAGCCCGCTAGGCGCTCGCCTCTCCTCTGCGCGCGCCCCGCCCCTCCCCCGCTCCGGGCGCGCGCACCCCTCCCGCCGGCCTCAGAGAAGAGGCCCTGCTGAATAATTGAACAGGACTGAGGCTAGCAAGAGAAGCAGCTCTCTTCCTCCTCCTTCCCTTCCCCCGCACCTGGACGAACCCCAGTAGGGCTCTCTGGTCCAGCACGCAGAGATGTGGCCACGGCCACCTCTGCACGCACCCCTCGGAACACACGTGCACGCTAGGATGTGGACGGGTGTGGAGACACCCACGTGCCCATACAGGCACCAGTGAGCGCGCAGACACACACAGGCTCAGACACATACATGCATACATGTGCTCATAGACACTGGCACACAGACTCACACTCAGCGCGGGGGAGGGGCACGGGGTATACACATGGACAGAGGCACACATCCGCGCACACAGACATGTTTGGCCACAAGTGATGAACGGCCAACATACACAGAGACACCTCCTCCCAGCTTACCCTCCAAAAACAATGACCCAGAGCCTCAAAGGTACTCAAGAGTAAGACATGTCACACACGCATACAGTCTTCTCACCATCTCCCCCAAAGGATGCTCCCCTACCCCCTGGACACCCCTGCTGGACTCCTCCAGTCCTTCCTCTCAACTCCCCCTGCCCCTCCACCAGCCTCAACCTCTCCCTCCACGGAGTTTTGAGGACACCTGTCCCCTGAGTGTCCCACATAGGACAAAACCCTTCCTGGGTCACTTATGTTCAGCTGAGGAAGCCACTTAATCTAGGTGCCCCTCCACTGGGATCTGCTCCCTCCCCACTTACCATAGCCCAAGAGGTAAGTGCAGAGAGTCTCCCTTCCCCTCATCTGGATGTGACCTCTGCACCCACATCAATCTGGGTTGGGTTAGGACCAGGGAAGGGGGAGGTATGTGGGGGGGAGCCAGAGGGTAGAGAAAGGAAAAGGGAGGGAGGTGGACACGGACCTGGAAGGAGCCAAAGAAATAGTGGGGTAGAGTGGGGAGGAGAGGTGGTGAAGAAAGGGCAAAAGGAAGGGGGAGGTGATGTGAGAAAGGGGAGAGAGAATGGGGGCGCCCAGGGAGGGAGGGCTGGCTCCTGCTTATCCATTCTGAATTCCATCTTGGAGCAAAAACTGTCACCAAGAGCCGCGCACGTGCTTCAAGCGGCTCCCGAATGCAGTCAGCACCCGGGACAGCTCCTCTGTTGCCACTGCCACCTCCCCAACCTCTTGAGCTGACAGGGGCTCCCATTTGGCCTCAGGCCCTCCAGAAGTGAAGAAGGGGTTCCTCAGAAGAGAAGGCTACAAGGTGCTACAGGGCTTCAGAAGGGAGGAGAGACGGCAGCCTGCGAAGCAGGGCTGGGGTCCGCCAAAGCCTTGTCCTCCGGCCCTCTCCATCCCATTCTTAGGCCCCTGGCTCCGGAATAGAGACTGACAAAGCTCTGAGCAGGCAGAAAATGTATGGTCCCCGAGGGAGGGAGGGAGGGGCCTGTGGCAGCGAGAGGAGAGGAAGGGAAACCGCCTAGAGGCCAATCAATATCAGTGAGTGGGAAGTGGAGAGAGTTGGAGGGGGTGACGCTGGGGAGCGAGGGGAGAGACAGAGGGTACAAAAGAAGAGAGGTGTGCAAGAGATCAATAGAGGCTGCAGAGAGGGACAGAGCAAGAGGATGAGCTGAGAAACAGAGACAGGGGCAGACCTGCCTGCCTGCGAGGGGCGGGCTCTGGAAGACAGAACCCCGGAGCAGAACTGATGGGAGCGCCTGCGTCCCGAACCAGAGTGCCTGGGTCCTGAACCCCAGCCCCATGGCAGGGAGTGTCCCTCCTTCTCTCTTCCCTTCCTCTCTCGCTTCATATTCTCTTTTTCATTCTCTCTCCACTTTCCTCTCTCTCAGGGCAGAGATGGGCTCCCTCCTGTTAAATCTCCTGCCTTCTCAGAGCAGACTAATGAGCCTTAAAGGGACACAGAGGTCCTTCACACCCCATGTCACAGATGGAGAAACTGAGGCCACAAGTTGGGAAAGGCTGTCCTGAATGAAGGTCAGACCTCTCCTCATCCCGGTCTCTCCCCCACGAGACAACCCCAACCCTCTGAAGACACCCTGGCCAGGCCCACCCTCCTCCCTGTCTTCAGGCACAGAGCTCCTTGGTGCCCATGGGTAGAGTGAACTGAACAGGCCTCTCGGCCAGGTTCCTGCTTGGCCTTGTGCCTCAATCGGGCCCCGACAAGACCAGCCATAGAGAGGCAGCATGAACAAGAAATAGCCGAGTGTGGAGACTTAGGAGACACAACCCCCAGAGAAGAGGGAAGTATGGTTTGGGGAGCAACGGCAGAGCCCCCAGCCCCAGGTTCCCGCCCTGCCCTTCTCAGAAGGTCCCCCAGGGCTGGCATTTGGAGAAACAGCAGGCAGAATCCCGCCGGCTGCCAGGCTGCACCCACCTTGTCTTTACCTGCATGGTTTTGCTCAGGCTCTGCCACCAGACACACAGACCAATGCTAGGGGATGGTGATTCTTCCCGAGACGTGCCCTGCTCCCCAGCCCCGATTACCCCTGCCTCCCACCTGCCTGGAACCTGGAAAAGCTGTTCCAGCCTCTCTTCCCACCCTTGCTAAAAGATGGCGTGACTCCCTAAACCCCCACCAATCACTATGCTGGCTTCCAGAAGGCTCCAGTGTGTGGGGCTGTAGTAGTGACAATGGGCAGTGGCATTTCTTGACTGTGATCCCTTGCACCGCAGGCAAGAAATGCCCACTATTAGCAACCCCAGCACCCGGGCCTAAATGAGCAGCAGGAGGTAACAGAGGCAGCAGCTCCTAGGGCCTAGCTGCACTCTGCCCCCAGCACCCTAGGACTTAGGGCATGCGGCCTCGTGGTCTTCATCAGTTAAACAGGACGGTTGGTCTCCATCCCCTGACTTCATTGAGGAACAAATTCAAAGGGCCCTGTAAGCTGCCAAACACTAAACAAGCAGCGAACATTGCTACTATTAAGCAGCAAAGTTACCACCATCTCCAGATCTCCTGTGTATAGCAACCAAGCTGGGTAGAAAGAGGCCCAGCCCTGTCTTTATTCCCCAGCAGCCAGGGCTCGAGTGTCCCTGAGGTGGCCCTCGTCTGGGGGCTTTGGAAGGAACAGAGGGTAGCAGGTCAGACGAGAAAATCCTGGAGATAAGAGGGGGATGTGGAGGTTCTCAAGGCTGGGCCATGCCTGAGAGCACCAGGACAACGCTGAGGGAGACGGGCGAGACACACTTCCAGAGGAGAAGGAAAAAACCAAGGCCTGCCCAAGAGCCCAAGCCCCCAAACAGGCAGGTTTATCCTGGACTCAGGACTCAAGCCCAGACGACGAAGGCTCCAAGGTCTGTCACGGAGGCAAGGCAGCAACCCCAGTTCTTAGCACAGATCTACTATTAACTACCCCCCAGAAATCCACCCACCCCTCCGGGCCTCGGTTTCCATCTTTGTAAAATGAAGAAGCCCAGTGCTGCATTGTGGTGTGTGTGTGTGTGTGTGTGTGTTTGTGTGTGTGTGTGTGTGTGTGTGTGTGTGTGTATCTTTCTGCAGGCCTCTGACTTGTCACATCCCTGGTCTCTCAGCAGGGCTACGCCAAGGAAGACCATTCAGGTGATGCCTGAGAAGGCTGCCCTCTCCCCAGCTGCTGTCCCAGCCCAATCAACCAAGAGAAACGCCACAGCCCCCCTCAGACAGGAGGTCACCTCTCTCCACTGCCTGCCCCAAGCTCTCCCCAGCTGCTGGCCACCAACCACGAGGGAGTGGAGACTGCTGCTCACCCTGCCCTCTCCAGGGAGGGGCCTTAAACGACATGCAAGTTGGCAGACAGATGCCCAGACGGGGAGGAGAAGAACCAGACAAGAACACGGAGGAGTGTCCTTGTGGCCCCAAGGGACAACCTGCAGAGATTTTCCGGGGGGCAGGGGGGACAAGGGACCTGCACAGCCGGGGTCTAGGGAAGCCAGCTGGGCCTGGCCTCCCGGGAACTGAGCCTGAGCCTGCCCCTTGGGAGTGGGCCCACTCTGGGCAAGAAATAAGAGACTTCCACTGCATGCTTTGGAGGGCACCAGAGGAAAGGGGGTGCAGGTCAATGCCTGCCCCCTATCCTGCACCATAGCGTGTATGTGGAGCTACAAATAAGACACGGAAGACTATCACCCAAATCTCACGGGAATAGCAACAGAGGCTGATGCCTTTGGTTATAGGTGAAGGGAGCAGTGTCCAACCAGCTCCGACCGAGGAGAGGAGGCCATCTGTCAACAGATCGCCCCAGGGACTCAGCAGCAGCAATCCTGCACAGGCCCAAAAGAAAAGACTCCAGAGTGGACCGTAGCCAGCAGCACCCCTGGCTCTCGTGGCAGGAAGGGATAAGAAAGAAGTGGCGTGGCTCTCGGAGACTCCCCCCCGCTCCCAGAAAGTCCCCATAGCTGGGCATAACCCCCCCTCCCCGGGCACTCACGGTCGTTGCAGACAGGGCCTCCATAGGAAGTCATGGTGCAGTCACAGGTGAAGCCGTCCCACTGCTGCAGGCAAACGCCCTGGTTGGCACAGGACTCTTCGGTGCAGGTGGTGCTGGGGCCTGGAAGAGGCAGGAGGAAGGAACACCCCCCGTTCAGCCAAGCCCCTTCCCTCCCCAGGAGGTGTGGAAGCTTCAGAGCCAGGCGGGAGGTCCTGCTCTCAACCCTGCCAGATTGGAAGGGACAAATCCTGACAGGGGCATGGGGGGCAGGGAGCGGACGGGTGCTCAGGAACTGCTAGGCTGGGCCTCGAACTATGATAAGGGGCCAGGGTGAGAGGCAACAGGAAGGGCAAACAACCCTTCACCCCCTGCACCCCTGCCCCAGAGCCGCCCCGATGCACCCCTTGCAGCTTGGCCCTCCTGCAGCCTGCAGAATCACCCCTAACTCCTCCACCCTCCACTCACCATCGCAGCCCCTCTCCACCTGCCCGATGCGGTGCAGGGCGTCAGCGATGAGGTCTGGGAGGCGTCCGTTGAGGTCCACTGAGGCCAGGCAGCCCTGAAAGCCATCCCGGGAGGCCACCAGCTTGGGCAGGTTGCTGAACATGTTCTTGCTCAGACCACCAATGTACAGCTCCCCTGTAAAGGGGGGAGGGTCAAAACCTCAGCATCCTGGCCCCCGGTCCCTTCCCAGGACACCAGCCTCTGGTTGACAAGTCCTCCTAGCCTGCAGCATCCCCTCCCAGGCTCCAGTTTCCATACAGAGATCCCACGACCCACCCCACCTCTTCCTCCTTCTTTCTCCACTTTGCCATCTGTCTGCTCCCCTCCCAGAGAAGCCCAGATGCCCAGGGCGGGCTTGCTTGGGGGGGGGGGGGTGGGGAGCAGCTGGAAGAACGGGTTCCGTGAGCTCTCCCACACATCTGATTCCAGTTCCGGCCTGTAATCAGGGCCTTTCAGAGACGTGATGCCCTCCCTGGGCCCCTCCCACTCCCTCCCTTCTCCCTGTTCCCAGGGCTTCTTCAGGCCTCCCCCAGCCAGTTCTCACTTCCCTCCCGGGTGCTCTAACCCAGCTCCCTTTCCCCAACAGCTGGGGCTGGACCTGGGGACTGTGAGTGACTCCAGAAAGCAGTTCTCCTCAGGGACACTTGACCCCACGCCCCGCTGCCTGGCCACATCACACCCAACTCCCTGGAAATCTTGGCCAGCCCATCGCAGAGCTTCGGCAAGACACAGTCTTGGCCACTGGCTCCTCAAAACACAGAGGAGCCCAGACCCCCACCCTCGGGTTTGCCGCCCCGGATTCCCTGTGACACACTGCCCCCTTCTGGGAGCTGGGGGGACTGGCAGCACTCTGACGGCACCAGACCCAGCTTCTAGCTCCAACTCTGCCTCCAGCTCACTGGCCTCTGAAGCTCCCATTTTCTCCTCTCCAAGAGGGGGGTGAATTCAAGAGGGTCTCTGAGGACCCTCCCCAAGTCCACACAGTCTGAGTCACACTGACACGCAGGGGTCCCCATGGGCCTGAGGCCTGCCTGGGGCGAGTGGAGGCCGCTCATGCTGCCCCGGTGGGCTCTGGAGAAGCTGCAGGGCTCATCTTCACTCCTGGTCCAACACCCGGGCTCTAGGCTCCTTCCCTGCTCTCTCAAGCACCCATTCTGAGGGCAGGCGTTGGTGACTTTGAGAGCTTCCCAGAGGCCCTGGGGAATGCGTGACCCTGGTGTGACACAGAGCCTACAGGGGAGCCCGGGTCCAAAAGAACCCCCCAAGTCAGCCTAGCCAATGCCCAAACTAGGGCAGCAGACAGGGAGTCCACGACTGCTACTCCCTCCTCCCCTTATCAACTGCCCCCTCCCACCCCACCTGGGGAGGCACCTGCCAGGACGCTGAGCTCCCCATTCTCTTTCAAGCCCTCAGCCAAGGCAGGCTTCTCCGGCTTGGAGGCCCAAGAGGCCTTCAGCAGCCCTGGGCTGCCTACTCCTAGCTCCAGAGCGAGGCCGCCAAGCTCCCCGCAAGGCACATCTTGTGGCCAGGCTTCCCCTGTTGAGGGCAGCCTCAGAGGAGAGCTGAAGAGAAAACATCAGGCTGGACACAGCAGAGAATGGGAATGAGGTGGAAACCACGGTGGCGGTGGAGAGAGAGGATCCCAGGGCCGGGGGAGAGCTAGCTGCGGCCGGGGGCGGGGGGGGGGGGCGGTGTCTGGGTTAGGCCAGGCCTTCTCCACAGGCCCCAGGCCCCACCTTTGAGATCGAGGTTTCGGGCGCCATTGGAGTGCTGCGTGACCGTGCGGGAGTCAATCTTGAGCGTGTGCACATTGCCCGGGTCCCTGGACACCACCACGTTGTGCCACTGGTTGTCATTGACTGGTTTGTCTGAGTTCCCCTTCATCAAGGACGGGCCATTCCCCAGGTCAAACACGTAGTGGATGTACCTGCCCCACAGTAGGGAGGAGACACTGGGTCAAGGCGGGGGCAAAGTTGGGAGGGCAGGGTAAGGAGGAGCAATGGCTCACAAGGGGTCCCAGGTACCACAGGACAAAGGGATAGAGAGGGAGACCCCAGAGTGGAGGGACCAGCCCAATGGCAAGAGGACTCTGGTGTGAAGTCCCATCACGGAGGGAACGTGGGGTTGGAGGGCCACAGAGGAGCCGGCTCCTGAGACAGGCTCAGAAGAGGAGCTGGTCTGGGGAGAGGTCTGTGGGGACAGCAGGGCCCTCTGGGGGCGGGGGCAGGACAGAGCTGCTCTAGGATGGGGTCCTCTCAGGCAAGAGAGGCCGCAGGGGCCGGGCCCTGCCTTCTGCCTGTAGAAAGGGCCTGCCTGAGCCCAGACAGTGAATGGAGGACAGCTGTAACTGGGAGAATCCTGGCGAGCCTGTAACTGGGGAGTCACCAGGGTGGAAGAAGGGGGTGCTGCTTTTCCACCTTGGCTGGCGGCTGGGGACCTGAACCTTGAGCTGTGGTTCAAGGGGACTGGATATCTCAGCCAGCGGCTGGGGGCCAGATCGTGGTCAGTAGGGGAAGGGGATCCCTTCCTCGCCAGCGGTGCCGGGCCCAGCACCTCACCCCTTGACCAGCTCGATGACAATGAAGTCATTGCCGTTGCCCGAGTTGAACAGGAGAAGCCCGTCAGGGGCTGTGGTCTTGAACTGGAAGAAGAGGTGCATGGAAGCGTAGGCTTGGAGCGTGGCGAGCGCCAGGTAGCTGCTGCGACTCTTGAAGGTGACCGGATCGGCCACAATGGCCCGTAGGCCGAAGCGAGCGTTGAGCTCGCAGTAGGTGATGTCACCATCCTTACACTGGTCCATGTAGGGTTGGCCGTTGAACACCAGCCCGCTCAGGTGCCCGATGAAGTTGGAGGGCACCACGGAGATGAAGCGTCGCTCCGTCATGATGCCCGTCTCGATGTTGTGGAACTCCAGCCGCGTATGGGCTCCTGCCATCTGTCCTGCTCGGGGCCAGACACAGAGATGAGGTGGGCAGATGGGGAGCATTTCCGGGGCTGGGCCTCGGGTCCCCCAGGAGCCTCCCCTCCACACAAGGGCCTCGGGGGGAGGGATGCCGGCAGCTGGGCCTTGGAGAAGCTGGCCGACCCTCTGATCCAGCACTCACGGGCATCCGGGGCTGTGCTGCCTGCAAGGAGCCCCCCCTAATATACCACTCCTCAGGGAGAAATGGCAGCCGTAGCTTGCCAGAATGCTGCCCCGGGGAGGGAGGCCCAGGCAGTTTTCACCAAGAAGAGAGCCATCCACAGGCCACTGGAGATGTAGCCACTCCCTGGTCTCAGAGCACTTACCCTCGACGGTGACATTGTCCACAGACAGCTGCAAGCTCTTGCCACGCCGCACCACCCTCACCGTGTGCCACTCGTTGTCGTTGAGCTTGTGGCCCGCAAAGAGCGTCTCGGGGCCTTTACCTGCGGCACCAAGGGGGGAGTGAGCACGGCACTCCCACACGCCCGCATATGGCTTCCTGTGCCGCCCCAAGCGCACACAGTCTCGCCCCCGTGCACACAGGTGCACACACACAGCTTGCGGCACCTCTTCAGCCGTGCCACGCACCCACACACACAAGGACACAGGCTCGCACGGTGGTTCCACACCCCGTCATAAATCCAGATAGCAGTACTGCCACTTTGTGCGACTTCCAAGGGCGTCATTGGAATAGAGTCTGATGGGAAAGGTGCCTCTAGACTGGTGCCCTGAGGCCCTGCACACAGACACTCATACCTACAACCAATATTTTCCTTCCAAGTCTTCTAAGGAACTTCAATGTCAGTGTGTGTAGCCAGCAGTGAGATTCCCAGCATATAGGCATAGACCTATAATTTTCAAAAATACAGAGCATTACCATGCCCCCACGTGTGAGTCTGCACCCACAGCTCCATTGCTGGCAGTGAAACCTTCGTACAGACACGCAGCTCCCCCATCTCCGGAGGGACCCCGTGGGACCCTTCTGTATACAACTGGTTAACTCCACACACCTGGACATGCGACCACACACACAGCGCAGCCAACATGGCCAGAGAGGGGAACCTTTCTTAGGAATCATGACCATTTCTTCAAGACCAGGATTATCCGGTCCCAAGTCTAGGATGAAATATGTTTCTGTAGAATGATGCTACACCGCGCTGCACACCCAGATCACCACCGGGCCCCCCCAGGGCTCAGGCCAGCGGGGACCAGGCTCACCAGGCATGCGCACACAGAGACCAAACACCCACAGAGACATGCTGAGCACACACAGCCCCTCTGCCGGCATCTGCCGTGCCCCCGGGCTCTCTTGCGTGACATCAGGGCACACCATGCAGAAACACTCTCTTGGAGACGGAACATTGAGCCCAGCACGCTGGAATGCTCAGAATGTCCACACCTGCTCTCCATCTCACCCCAGCCGAGAGCTTCCCCGTCCCCTCTGAATGCACCCCAAGCTTGGCAGGAGCTCAGCCCCCACCCGCCACAGGAGCTGTGGAGGGCTGAACTTTGAAGCCCTGACCCTGTTCCCCTAGCCTCATCTTATTTCTTGTGTGCCTCGCCCTCCCCCTTGTGGCCACCTCTGGAGCTGCAGTGGAATGTCCCCGCTCCTCGACGGCTTCTTCTGGCCGTAGGGTAGGGCGGTGGGAACTTCCTGCGGGCCGTGGGCCTTCCTGCGGGAGGTGCCACCAAGGCTTTGCCCCACCCTCCTGAGGACTTGAGATGACGAGGCTTCCTGGCCTTCCTTTGCCCAGACCTAGGGAGCATGCTGACCCACGGTCCTCCACCAACTCTTCCTGGTTCAGCGTCACTGGGCCCGTTCTGCCCTCCACAGCCACTCCATCCCCACCCACCCTCATGCCTGCTCCCCTCCCCACACCCACTACCCAGCCCCCACACAAGCTAGCTCCCCGCTATCCCTCCCCAGATCCCAGCGTCCAGCATCCCAGGCCCCTGGGGGCTCTGCAGAAGAAGAGGGAAGCCACTTACTGGGTGCGCAGCCGACGCGCAGGCAGTCTGGGGGGGCCATGGGGCGGGCAGAGGGGGAGGGAAGACAAAAAGGCAGAACAAGTTTTTTGTTTTTTTGTTTTTTTTTTTTTTTACATCCTTCACAGGCAGGGGTGTCTGCGGGCGGGGGTTCCCCCCAGGACCACTTTCCGGGGACCACGCGTGCCCAGGTGCTCTCTCCCCTTCCTCAGTTGGACCCCTGTCCCTCCTGCCCCCAAGAGGGCTCCAACCCTCCCCAGAGCTGGGAGGCAGGGCAGTCAGGTGATGGGAAGAGGGCTTGCGTCTCCCTCAGAGGGGCCCAGGCCTCTCATGTCTGAGGGAGATGGGCACCTTGGGGATCCCAGTCGTACAGGGGATCATAGTGGGGCTGCAGGCTTGACCAACCCCATAGCTCCACATCTCCGGGAGTTGGATGGGGAAGGCCAGAATCTCTGCATCCCCTGCTCTGGGACGACTCCCTGGCTCAGAGCCCAAGTTGTGACACGTCACTCCCCATGCCCCCTGGGCTCTGAGCTAAATGGAGGGGTCTGCCCCAGGGCTCCCTTCCCGAGGCCATCCACCTCCCAAAGTCTCAGGGGGCCAGCACCACCCCTCCAGGAACCTTCCTTCTACCCTTCCTAACACGGAGGATGCCAGGCTGCCACTGGGGACTGGAGTGATCTCTCACCCTGAAGAGCAACTAGCATCAATCTGTTCTCCAAAGGAGGGGCCAGGGCCTCACAGGTGGGGATACCAAGGCCCCCACAGTATGATTCCAGAGGACACCCAGCGAGTCAGGGACAGGCAGGCACCATAGGCTAAGTCTCCTGCCCCTGCTCCAGCCCCAGCATTGCTATCCTATGACTCCAGGGTCAGCGGGCCCCATGTGGCCAGAAAGCACGCTATCTACACAGAATTGCAGCCCAGGGCCCCAGGGCCTTGGGCCAACCCCCACCCCCCCTCGATGGGACACATTATCCACACCGTCAGTCAGCCAGCCTTACAGAGGGAATGGAACACTAGGGTCTTACGAAGTCGGGAATTAGGGCCCTTTGGACACCTGCACCACACCATCGGACCCAGACAGCCTAGGGCTGCAGAAGCCCTACACCCTGAGGCAGAGGAGCTGGGTCCTAATCTCATTATGTGGCTGTGGGCAAATCTCCTTTCTCTGAGCCTCAGTTTTCCTCCCTGTGAGCTGAGAACAAGAAAGAGGGGCTCAGCGGGGCGGGCCCTTGTCTTTCAGAAAAGGGGCAGTTTCCAGCAATATCCTGGCATCCTATGGCTCCTCCCAGAGCAGGCTCTGCCCACAGCCCTACACCCAGGAAACAAAGGCGGGGGCAGCTGGCATCCCTTGGACCCCTGAAGGTTCCTGCAGTGGAGGTGAACGGATTCCCCTGTGGCTCTGGGGGCATGGGCCCCTCGGGCAGTACGGCTGAGCTCCACACGCGTTGTCAACCGCGACAGAAGAGTGGGGGGAGCAGCCGGGACCCTGAGCCACTGCCTGGCACCAAGGGAGGGAAGAGGAAGCAGAGGGAGGCCAAGGAGCAGATTCAGGGGAAAGTCAGAGGCCCAGTGAGAAGGAGGTCGAGAGGCTGCAGAGAGAAAAGAGGAAGGAAGGGGGAGCTGAGGGAAGGAGAAGCTAGGTGGAGGGAGGGGAAGAACGTCGGGGTGAGGGTGGGAGGGTGCCAGGCCTGGAGTCGGGTCACGGGGGCTCTCTTCGGGCCAGCAGAGCCTTCACCAATGAAGGGTCCAAAAAAGAAAAAAGGGGCTGGAAGGGCAGGCCGATCCCCTGTTGGGAAAAGCTCAGTTCTTCCCCTCCCCAGCAGGGGAGTGCCAGGAATGGGGGTCCATCTGTCCAGAGAAGAGGTGTTGGCTCCAGGTCCACCCCCTGCAAGGACCCCACCCTCAGAAGCCCCGCTCCAGCGGGCTCTGAGGACAGCAAACACCCTGTGAAGATGGGTACTGCGGGAAGGAGCCAGCGCCATCCCAGAGGCAGGCAGAAAGTGGGGGTGAGAGAGGGCACCAGCCTTCTGTGCGCCCACCCGCCCGGAGCCCAGCTCAGGCAGCACTAGCGAGCGACTTGTTAGCTAGTGACCTGTGCCTCAGGTGCTGGGAAGGAATGGAAGTGACAGGTCTGTGCAGACCCACCAAGGTCCTGGCTGGACATAGAGACCAGGATGAGGGGATGAGCGTGTGAGGAAACAGGTGGGAAAGGTCACCTGCATGTTAAGGAACCCAGGGTAAAGAACCTAGGCTTTCCATCCGCACCCCACCTGATCCCCTGCCCCACCCAGACCACACAGATCCCACAGATTGTAGATGGTGGGCCCAAGGCTCCTAGGCAAGGAGCCTCAGGAGCCCACTGGCCAGAAGCTCATCTCAGAAGTGACATCAAAGAGCGGCAGCCTGCAGTTCTTGTTCAGAGCAATCTCCCCGGCAGCCCAGGCTATGGGAGGAGTTTGAGAACCACTGACAGCTCCCCCCAACCATGGGAACGAAGCACCCTTCCATGGCCTCGGGGATTAACAGGCTTTGGAACGTAATGTGTATTCAGCCTCATTTACGACAAGAACGAGTCAGGCTTACTCTGTATGGCCTGAGAGGGCAGAACTAGGTCCACAAGTGGGAACTTCAGAAGGGGCGGTTGACATGAAGGAGAAATGACCCAATGATTAGAGTGGCCATCAGAGGCGGGGAGCTCCTGACATGGGCGTCTGAGCAGAGATGGAGGAGCTAATGGTAATTCACACATGGGCCGGGGAGGGGACGGGGCATGCTGGCTGGAGGAGATAACTTCTAAGGGTAGCTCCAGCTTGGAGATTCTCCTATTACAATATGCCCTTCACGTCAGCCTCACGGACAGCTGGATCTTCAGGGGCACGCCTGGTGGAGGGCAACAGGGACAGGCCAGGCTGGGCAATGGCCCAAGAGGCCATACCAAGGGCAAAAGGACCCAGGAACACAGGTCACAGTGGAACAGGGTGAAGAATCCAGGGGACTCTAATGTTCTCTGGGGACAGAAATCAACCACCTGCTCAGAGGCTGCAGACAGCAGAGCTTTGGGTACTTGCTCAGTGTCTGCAGGCCAAGGGACAGCCAGGAGGCACAGTCCAGTGTCTCTAGCGTCCTCTGCCCAGAAGGACGTAGCGGCTCCTGGTTGGCCCTTCGTGGCCCAGCAAACGCCCCGCCTCCTGAAGCTGGCACTGAGGACCTCCTCCCAGCTGCCCCACCAAGTGGCCACCGGCAGCCTCACTTTCCTCTTTAGGACCCAGCACCAAGTCTGCGTCCTTCCACCGAGCATCTGACAGGTTGCAGAGCTGCCTTCCTTCCCTACAAGATGAGACCTCGAGGCCAGAGAGCAAGGCTTCTCAGGCTTCTCTCTGGTCCCCAGCAGTAAGTCCAGCCCAGGACCAGCCTTGGTGGTGTTCCCCGCCTGTGAGGCCCCACAGGCCCTGGGTAGCAAGCAGATTGGGGAAGCAGGAGTCAGACTGGGTCATGTAGTGTGGAAGCAAGCCTCCAGGCCTGGCTCGAAGCTTACGTCCCTACCCCAGTAAGATTTTCCTTTGAGAAGCCTGGGTGAGTCCCTACATATGTGTCCTGCATCTGTGTAATGCCTTCATTCCCGTTATTCCATCTGAGCCTCAAAACCACCATAGAAGGTAAACAGAGCGAGGATCCTTAACTTCATTTTACAGATAAAACAGAGGCCCAGCAGAGGGGAATGACCTACCCAGCAGTCAAAGAGACCGGGTCTGAAACCCAGATCTCCTGGCCCTAGGCCCAGTGCTCTTCCCATCAGAGCCTGAGGCTGCATGGCTGGGTGCAGATCACACAGCAACCACACGCCTCCCTGTACACATGTCCCTTGGTATTGTGGACAGATGCATCTGCACCAAGCATTTGGTCACGGCTTGTCCTGAGCCATATCAGAGATGGCACCTCTGCATGGGGCCCGGCACAGGCAGGGGTGAGAGGCAGGGACATGGGGCCCGGCACAGGCAGGGGTGAGAGGCAGGGACAGGTGAGAGGTAGGAGGACTGTCTTGCTGGCTGGCATCCTGAGGGCCACCTTCTTCTCTGCCTTCTAAGTACTTATGAGGCACAGACAGAAAAGCATACCGACGGGAAGGAGAGGGTCGATCCTAAGGGTGAAAGGTCCTGAGGACCCACCAGAGAGCATTTTCCTGGCTGAGGACACTGCCTCCTGTCTAATCTAAAAGGAACCCAAGCTTCTTCCCCAGGCACCTAAGACAGCCCAGGCGAGGAAACAGCATCTGCCTTCCCTGCAAACAGAAGGCCAGAGATGTTCCCTACCGTCTCACTCCCCAGCACACAGAACCATGTGCTACTGTGCAGAGAACACACGCCTCCCAGGGCGAAGGCGTCTGTCACACTGGGTCTGGGTACACAGACCAGGAATGTCTGAGGAAGCACGGGGCCACCCATGGGGTCCTGGGCTGGTGCCTTCCTCCCGTGACCATTTCAGAGGGGCCAGGGATGTTGTACAGACCATGAGACATTGGCCAAAGGGAGCCTCCCTTCCCACTTTCCCCCCTGCAGCACTGACACCCAGCACCCACTCTGTGGGCTGTGATGATGGCCCAAAGCAGAGCTTCACAGAGCCCTCATGTTCCCCAACTCTGTGGCCCCAGCCGCCTACACATCTCCCTGCCTCCAGCCCCTGCCCTGCTCGGCAAATCCTTGTCCTAGGAGGACGAAGACCAAGTGGCCAAAAGGGGAAAGGGAAAGACATCGTATAAATTTATTAATGAGGCAATGGATCCCCAAAAGGCCACAGTCTGTCCCACAAGTGGCCTAGAGACCAAAGTTAGGGTGAAACTCCAGATCAAGATTTAAAAGCTCAAAGCTCTGTGTTCTTTCCAGTTGAGACTCCTAATCTGCTCAGAAGAATCCTACCTCTCTTCCTGCCCAGGACACAACAAGTGAGCCTCGTGGCCTGAATCTTCCTATATGGCAGGCCCTTGGGTGCTATACTTCTATGTGCTTAGCGAGTCTAGTATGAAATGGACAGTCATGAGCCCAGCCTGGATGGCTGAGGACCTCCAACTTCCAGTGTTCCCCTGACTGAAAGCCCCACCAAGGCGGGATCCGCGTCTTCCCTACTGTTGTAGGCCAGGGGCAGAAGACACTGGCGCTTACAAAGTGTCCCATAAATATGAGCTAAATGAGTGCACCTGCTGCTTTCTTCCTGCCCCAACAGGACTGATGGTCCCATCCAAACAGACACCCTGGGGATGGCCCGGTGAGGTATGTTCTGGGCAGGAGCCGAGATGGCAAGCCATCTGATGGTGAGGGTCCCTGATGCCCTCCACTCCCCAGTCTGTTAGAGGCAATGGGAAAACACTGTACTTTAGGGCAAATGACCTGGGTTTGAGTCTGGGCTCCTTCCCCAACCACTGCTGGCTTTGTGATGTTGGATGAGTCAGTATGTGAATTTCACAATCTATAAAGCAGGCAAAGCAAAGCCCAGCAGGTGATCTTGTGGCTTCACAGGGCAGCCAAGGGACTCAAACGTGAAAGCAGACAAGGGAAGACATGTCCCGAGTTGTCCAGCGTCACCTGCGCACCTATGACACAGACAGACATGGCTTTTTAAACTCAGAGCAGGTGAGAGTGGCTATGTACATGGCCAGGTCCTCCTCATCTCCAGATGAGCTGCGCTGAGCTCAGGCTTAGCACCACTATAGGCATCCGTGAGTCCTTCCGAAATGAATGAACCAGTGAAAGAGTAAGTGGATGAGCCGACAACCAAGAAGGAGCTATGTTGTTAGGTGTGGATACAGGACAGAAGCCACCAAACCCAAATGAGTGTCCCGGGAGAGCAGCTGCGACACCGAGACACACTTGGATGGATGGCACAGCCATGCTGGGGGTACCCCATACCCGGTGCTGCCAAACATGGAGCATCCCCTACCCTGTGCATCCTTGCTAGAGACGGAGCTCTCAGAGGCACTGACCCAGGGTTGGCACCTCCCCGTTTCCCACTCTCGGTGGCGCCACCACCAGCTTCTCCAGACAGAGGGGGTGTGGTCAGAGGCAAGGACAGGGAAGGGACCAGAACACAGGGTGGGGTGGTTACCGAGGTTGACCGTGAGCTTCATCTGGCCCCCATCCAGCTCGAGGCGCAGGGTGTCGGCGGACTCCCTGGAGGTGGTAGCCATCATTAGCCCGTAGGCCCGCTGGGACATGAAGCGCAGAGACACATCCTCCGCCTCCGTGTGCATGGCATTCGGCAGCATGATCTTCATGTACATGGAGCCATCATAGCTCAGGACCGTGGCCTCTGCCCCAGAAGTGGGGGGAGAGGGAATCGAGGTACAGGTGAAGGCCAGCGGAGGGAGAGAGACCAAGAGGATCGTTACAAGGATGACAGGCCCAGGGCTGGGCTGGGAGGGGCACCCTGAGGAGGCAGGGGCCCAGGGGTGGGCAGCGGGGACACCGGGAATGAAAACCAGCCTCACCTCTCTCACAGACCCGCCCCAGAAAGCCGGTCCCGATGCAGTCACAGACGAAGCGGTTCCAGCCCTCTCGACAGATGCCCCCGTTGCGACAGGGGGCAGAGGTACACTGCTTCAGTGTCTCCCGGGAGCAGAAGGGGGCGATGCCCACCGCCCCCTGAGCCTCGGCCAGGCCCCGAAGGTCTCGGCTGCGCCCGTCGATGAAGAGGTCTCGCACACAGCCCACGTAGCCAGCCCGGAGCGCCGCCGTCCACACCTCCGGGGGCAGAGGCAGGTCCACCCGTCCTCCCTCAGGGAGACCACCCAGGTACAGCTCACTCTCCAGGTCCAGAACCTCACTCTCCCCGGTGGCCAAGAACGGTGTGCTGCGGCTGTTCACTGAGATGGAGCCTAAGAATCAAGGGAGAGTGGGCCTCAGGGACGAAGGCAGGCCTGAGAGTCAACACGGGCCAGAAAGGGACCCCTGGCCTCCCACCCCGTACCCTACAGCAGCCCTGGGCCGGAAACTCAGTCTTAATTTGCAGCTGCAGATACTACTTGACAAAGATTTCAAGTTCAGGAGCTCAGGTGAGCCAGCCCCAGCCCAGCTGTGGTGTGCGGTGGGCCTCTGTCCACACGCCTCCCTCTGCACCCGAGTGAGTCCTCGGGGCATGCACAGCAGTTGGACATGCCCCAAAGGGCTGGATCACTCATGGGTCATCCCCCCGGCCAGTGCCTTAGACCAGAAACCAGAGGCAGAGAACCCTAAGGAGGCTGAAAAGTTTGAATCCAAAGTGTTTTCTTCCTACTAACATTTATTGAACTTTTATGTCAGGCACTCGGCACTTCTCTTATGTCAGAGTCTCGAGGTAACCCTATGAAAATAGCCCTTTATGATCCCATTCTGAAGCGGCAGGTGAGGCTTAGGGAGATTGGGGAACCTGCCCAAAGCACCCCAGAGGGTAAGGAGCAGAGGCAGAGTGCCATCCAGAGCCTGCTGGTCCAACCCTCTGCCTGGTGGACAAAATGGGCAGGCAGATCCGCTCCCAGAGCCCGACACAGGATGACAGTCAGGAGAGGGATGGCCAGGCACAGAGCTCCTGAGTCGTAAGACTTCTTTGGAAGGAAAGGCTGGTTACCTTAGAAAAAAGATTTGGGATCAAGTGGGAGCTTCAAAACCTTTACTGAGATCTTTAAGAAGCAGAAGCCTATAAATTAGAAACTATTCTGTTTACAGTTTTTTCTATACTTTTTCCTTCTTCTGTCCTTTCTCAAGAATTCTTAAGGAAAAAAAAAGTCTTTGGGCACCTGGGTGGCTCAGTCAGTTAAGTGTCTGCCTTCAGCTCAGGTCATGATCCCAGCATCCTGGGATCAAGCCCTGCATCAGGCTCCCTGCTCAGCGAGGAGTCTGCTTCTCCCTCTGCCTCTGCCCCTCCCTCCCACCCCCCCAACCCATCCACTAGTGCACTTGCTTTCTCTCTCTCTCTCTCTCATAAATAAATAAATTTTTTTAAAGATTTTATTTATTTTTTGACAGAGACAGAGACACCAAGAGAGGGAACACAGGCAGGGGGCAGTGGTAGAGGAAGAAGCAGGCTTCCCGCTGAGCAGGGAGCCCAATGCGGGGCTCAATCCCAGGAACCCTGGGATCATGACCTGAGCCGAAGGCAGACGCTTAACGACTGAGCCACCCAGGCGCCCCAATAAATAAAATTTTTTTAAAAAGTCTGCCTATCTCCACGGGGTTAAAGAGAGGTAAGGAGGGTCTGGTCTACATTAGGCCTGACTGGGCAGAGATCTTGGATAGGGGAGGGGGTGCAGTAGGAGATCAAAGCCTGAGTACAGGGTGTCAAATTCAAGAAGCAGAATTAGGGCCTCTTCTATGGATGGGACTCCTAATCTGGAGCACGTTCTCCTCTGCTCAAAGCCTCTCCTAAGCCAGAGAAGTCACTCCCCTGTGTCCCATTTTAATAACATGGCCCTAGCTTGTCTCTCCTGACAAGGTGTCAGATGCTCCAGGGTCTCGCTGCTAAAACCCACTCCCCGACCAGGCCCCCATATATGGCCCTCTGATCACCCATATCCCTGTTGGTAGCAGAGTCCCCAGATGCCTGCTCTACCCACCTGCTGTGGGGCCTCCTGCACATGGACGCTGCCCAGCTGGACTCTCAGTAAATGAACCAAATGGGGGAGAAGGAAGAGGTGGGGAAAGAATGTATAATGGAGAGTCAACAAAAGGAAATTAAAGTGAGTACAGGCCTTGCTCCAGATCCTTGCCCCAAAACATGGAAATGGAACAAACCAAGTGTCCAATGACAGATAAATGGACAAACAAAAGGTGGTGGTATTTACATACAATGGAATATTATTCGGCCATGAAAAGGAAGGAAAGGCTGACACCCGCTACAACATTGGGGATGAACCTGAAAACACATTCAGTGAAGTCAGCCAGACACAAAAGGACAATTACTATATGATTCCATTTACAGGCGGTCCCTAGGGTAGTCAATCCCTAGAAACAGAAAGTAGGATGGTGGCTGCCAGAGGCTGAGGGAGGGGAACAGGGAGTTAGTGTTTCATGGGGACAGAGTTTCAGCTTGGGAAGAAGAAAAGTTCTGGAGGTGGATGGTGGTAACAGTTGTACAACAGTGTGAAGATCCTTAATGCCACCGAACTGTGCACTTTAAAAATGGTTAAAATGGTAATGTTATGTGTAATTTAACACAACTAAAAAAAAAAAAAACACGGAAAAGGTCAAGGAGAGCTTTGTTGGGATGACTGCCCCAAGTGTGGGATTAAGTGCACAAATGAACTTGGGACATCAGAAATGGCCAGAGCTGGTCAAACAGTGACCCAAGGACCAGCCAGACCTGGTGTGTGGGCTCTGCAGATCTGTGGGAGGCTAATGAGACCACTGCATGAAGGGAGAGAAGAGAAGGCCCTGGGGTTCTCTGCAAGGCCTGAGCAGACTTCCAACCTAGAGAGTCACTAGTCACCTACGGGGAAACCCTGGGAGGCAGCGAGTGCTCTGTGAAGACCCCCAGGTGCCACCATGAGACAAAACCGAGGGATGAACCCATGTACTATAAAGCCTGGGGAAGGCGACACTTCTCTGGGGAAGAGAAGGGAAGAAACAGCCAGCCACGAGAGGCGGATGTTTCCGGGAGCCACAGCGCCTCCTTGCTCCCTGTGTGTGGGGGGAAACAGCCCCTCCACCCAGTCTCAAAGGCCTGGTGCAGTGACAACTGCGGGCAGGGGGGGGGCACAACAATTTAGCTGATGTTGGTAAGTGCTTACGTTGGACATTGTGTCAGTTCTCCTTTACATCAATCCATTCTCTTGTGGTCAACAAATGGAGAAGAGCAAAGAGAGAACTGGGCAGAAAAGAAGACCAAAAAGGAAGAGTAGAGGAAAGGGTGGTTGGAAGCAACAGAAGTTTCAAGAAATAGCACCTGCCTGGCCCGAGCACTCTCTGCCCTGCTGTTTTATTGTGCTAGAAACCTCACCCGGTGAGAGTGTCGGGTGCTCCTGTGTCCCGCCCCCCCCAACCAGAGCACGAGCTCCATACAGCGAAGACTGTTTCGTCCACCACCAACCCTAACCCAGCACCTTGGACAGCACCTGGCACACGGTAGGTACTCCGTAAGTACTTGTTAAGTGAGTTAATAAAAGAAAGTTGCGTGGACCTAGCTAGAAGGAAGGCAGGATTGGGAAGATTTTTGTTTGTTTGTTTAAAGGAGAATGGGATATGTACTCTGTGTTAGGCACTGTGCTATGCTTTTACAGATATTCTCTTATTTTTTCCTCTCAAGGACCCCAGTGCAATGGTTCCTTTTATAGATAATGAAACTGGGCTTCAGGGGGCTGAGTAAGGGCCTAAAGTCACACACATGGTAAGTGGGAGAGCTGAGGTGTGAAGCCAGCTCTGCTGACTCGAAACACTACACTCCTCTTGTCAATGTACCATGACAGGAGGGGCAACGAAGGGGCTGACCGGATGGGAGGAAGGGAAGGACAGCCATGGGAGGGGCCTGGAAAGGATGGGGAGGGGCCAGGAGGAGAGTGGGAGGGGCCTAGAACAGATGGGGGAGAGGCCAGGAGGAGAGTGGGAGGGGCCTGGAAAGGAAGTCAGGCAGGGGGAGGGTGGAAGGAGACCCCCAACCCCCAGGCCTCCTGACCTTTGCGCCCGTCCCTTTGGAAGTCCACATGGCACCACTCTCCGTCATTGACCTTGCGGCTAGACGCCCGCAGCTTGATGCCCCCAGAGCCCATGTCCAGCAGGAGGTAGAGGTAGCCGTCCAACAGCTCCATGGCAAAGTAGTCAGCCCGCTGGGCAGAGCTATGGCTGCCGACCCCGGCCCCAGCCCGCCGGCCCTGGCTGAAGAGCAGGAGCCCGTTGGGCTCAGTGGTGCGGAAGTCCAGGGAGATGGAGCCAGTGCGTTTGGCACTCCAGCGGGGCAGTGCCACGAAAGCCTCAGGACTCTCAAAGGTCACGGGGTCGAGGGCAGCCACATCCTCGCAGCGGAATGATAGGTCCCCCTGCAGCTTCATCTTGGGGTCCCCTTCCTTTGCCAGGCGGGATAGTTCCAGCTTGAAGTCATTATTCTTATAGACCACCTGCAGGAAGGGGTGGGGTCAGGGATGAAGAAGCAAAAGCAGCTCAGGGCCTGGCCACTCCTGCTCAGCAGCAGCAGAAGCCACGATGGGACCCTGCCAAGGGGGGTCGGGGGGGCCTGCTCAGTGCCACTGGATCACTGGCTTGGACCTCTGTTCTAGAACTTCATGCACAGAGGCTGTGAGCGAACACCTCCCTTGCCCCACTTAGGGTCTGTGCTCTGTCCTCTGGCCCAGCCTAGCCGGGCGGCCCTCAGTACCTGCTGAATCGGGTTGATAAAATAATGACAAGAGAATCACTGCTCACATCTAGTGGACATCTTCCAACTGACAAAGTATTTTTATTTACCCTCTCATCTGCCCCTCACACCCACCTTGAGAAGTAGGTACTGACTACTCATTTTCCAGCTGAGGAAACTAAGAATTAGACAGGCCGACGGACTTGACCTTAGGGTCACAGAGCTAGTGGGTGGAAGAGCCAGGACCAAACACAGGTCTTTAGTCTTCACATCCAACATTCTTTCCTCTGCACCACTGCCACCCTCAAGGGTCCTCAAGGGTCCTAGAGAGGATGGGGGACTTTGGGGGCTCAAGGAAATGAGAGAGGAGAAGCTTCTTGATGAAATCAATGGGGCTTAGGTTTTGAAGAGGGGAAGTCTCCCTGCACCTTGGAAGGAACAGAGGAACCAGGCCGTTGGCCAGCTCCGACTAAATCACACTGAAGACAGGGACCAAAGGGTTTCCTGGCTGACCCCAGACCCTTCCTAGCCTTACTCACGTCCTTGAGGCAGCCCATAAAGTTGTTGCTGACGGGTGAGCCCGGCAGGTCAGCCGTGTTGGGACTGCCCCCAATGTAGAAGAAGTCATCCGAGCCCAGCATGGTGTAATCCTCCTGCGTGTAGCCTGTGGTGGTCAGGATCCCGTCCACTGAGATGGTCACCTGCCCAGCCCAGGGAGGGAGGGAGAGAGACAAGGAGACAACCGGCATCAACTCCCTGGGAAAAGCCATGGGCTGGGCAAGGGAGGGGCCAGGGGGCTGCGGGGGAGGGGGACCCCCATTTTTATGTCTGCTTGTCTTGGAAGAGGAACAGTGGGGGGAGAGAGGGAAGGCAGGAAAGGAGGTAGCACAAGATTTGATGGTTTCAGGGTGGGCTAAGGCCTGCCCCACAGCCCCCAACTCAGCAGGCAGAGGCCTGAAGGGTACTTGGAGGGCCCACCATGAAGAACAGCAAGAAGCAGTTCCTGGAAATGGCTCCAAACAGGAGTAGCGACCTCAGGACAAGGCCCCATTATGGGGGGATGGAAATGGCATCCTCACTTCCCTCCTCTTGAGGTGCTTTCTGGACCCTCATGTGATTTCAGAGCGTCTTTCATAAAGGAGGTAGAGAATACCAGTTCTCCTTGGATCTTGGTGGCTTTGCCTCACCTGAGGCTGTCCCCTCAGGGCACTGAGGAGTCCCCACAGTCTCAGACCAACAGGGAAATGGGAGATAACGAGGGCATGCGGAACAGGAACTCAGATACCACTGGGGAGCACTGGAACTTCCTGGGGGACACAGAGCGCCCTCGGGGCTGATTCCCACCACTACCACCCTAACATCAAGGGTTCCCACTGGTCCTTGCCTTCTTCCTGAGTCTGTCTCTTTGTTCCCCAGGTCCCCCTGTATGCCGGCGGTTCTCTTGTCTCCCAAGGAGAGGGCAGCCCTTTATTTGTCAGCCTGCCTTCTTTTCTTCGTTGTCTTCCCTACTAACACCGCCATCATTATTCAGGTTAGGGGACAGGGGGTGTGGGTTAATTTCACAACACCTTAACCCTGGGCTGAAAAGTCAGCTAAGAAAGCAACGTGGGTAAGGAGCAGGGGAGTACCCGATGTTCCAAGGAGAGGACAGGGGCTCAGCCGTGACCTGGGGAAGGCAGAAGTGACCTTGGGGAGGAGTGACAGATGCAAGGAACTCTCTGTCTACGCCCTCCCCAGACAAATGCCCACTTGGCCCCTGAAAAGTTTAGCCATAGGAGCAGCCCGCAAGGGCTCCAGAGACCCAACAAGACTGTGGGGGAAGAACCAAGGGCTTCGGGACCATGAGCGCCCCACTGTAGGGAAGCTGTGGCTTAGGATGGTCACCTGGGAAGAGCAGGCAGGCTCCTACGGGAGCCATCAGGAAGCTGGCTCGCAGTGAACCCAACACTGTGCTTCCGCAGACCACAGCTCACCCCCACTTCCCAGTCCCCAAAGATGCTTCAGGACCCTCTTTTCAGGTACCGTCTGGAGATTTGGGCCTTCCAGTCACATCCTGTGATGTCCCCACCCACACCAGCCCATACGCACATGCCACCAGCCATCTTCCTGAGCCTGGTCTCCAGGGCTCCATTGTCATGGGGAGGGAGGAGGATGTTAGGAACTCCGAAAGAACGTGGGCACAACGAGGCAAGGGGAGCTTCCCCCACAGGGCCCTCGAGTCCTCCTCACTCACAGTGAGTGGGGGTACAGCTGAGCAGAGTGAGGGCTGAAGGGGCCCCCTCCTGGGAACCATCAAACCTTGTGCTGGGGGGATCAGGTTCAAGGACAGAAGGTCTATGTGGGAGGGGGCAGTTTGAAGGCTTTTGAGTCTTATTTTGAGGGGAGGGCTGGTCATTATTGTTTATTTCTTCTTCCCTCAACCCACCTGAGGCTGGGAAGTAGGGATCGGGGTGGAAAAGGGAAGGGTCAAAGTATTAGTCACAAAAACATGCATACGAGATTAGGATGTGGGCAGAAAGAGGCTGGGGAAAGGGAAGAAGGGGGCTGGGGTGAGGGGGTGGGATAAGACAGGCAGGGGTGGTAGGTGAAGGGGTCTCCCTAGGGCAAATTCAGTTCCGTCCCACCCTGCAGCTCCACTCTTGATCCCACACCAAGACCTGGAAATGGGCCACTAATTAGTTCCTGAGCCTGTGACTGGCCACCCCACCTAGACGGTGAGCTCCTGAAGGGCAGGTATCTGGCCTGACATGTCCCTGTAACCACATTAATCCCAGCACAATCCAGGGACACATCATGGTCATTAAAGGCGAACATCAAGTCACCTCGCGACCCGGAGAGACACCGGGCTCTCACTGCCTATGTCCCATCTATAAGCCCAGCACCTCAGGAGCCTTGAGCGGACAGAGCCTCCATCCTCTGAGACTGCTCTAATCAGGTGCCCTTGCTTCTGTGCAGCCGGAGGGCCCCGCTGGCCCCCAAGTTCCTCAGGAAGAGGCTTCCCTGGCCTCCTCAGGCTTCCAGCCCCCCTGAGCCACTCAGCTGTGTCCTCCCCCCTCGGCCCCAGCAGCCAGGGCACCAGCTATAGACACGTTCCTCACCCTATGGGTTCTCTTTGGCCCAGTCCATGCAGTGAGCTCACCTGCCTTTGCCATTCTACAGTTAGAAGGACCTGACCTGTGGGCAGCACCCTCCTCGATTCCCCTTCAGACTGGGCGTGAATCTGACCTTGCCCTCTACGGCTTTATGCAAATCCCTGCCATGTGGTGCCCCTTTTGGAAAAGGGCCGCCTTAATCACCCTCCTATCTGTCCCCCAAATTCACAACTATTTTTTAGAGCAGCCCTGGCCCAGGGGCTGAGGGAGAGGGTCGCAGGAGACAGGGTGACATACGGAGGTGCACGGAGGAAGGGGGGGGTCAGCCTGGGGGTGGAGGAAGTAGAGGGAGAAAGGGGGAGACGGGCACTGGGTGGAAAGGAAGCCAAGAGTAGGGGGAATGGAGGACAGTCTCTGGGGAAGGCAAGGAGGGAGATGACAGAGATTAGTAAAACCCGACTGTTCCCTCAGACAAATCAAAGTCCAGACACAAAAATGGCAGGTTCGTTAGTAAAAGCAGGAAACAGGGGCATAATTCCCCCGTCCCCCTCCACCCCAGGGGTTCGTGATGCCCCTGCCCCCCAACCCCCTCTCCCCGCGCAGCTTCTGGAAGGGGTGGGGCCGGCGGGGGAGGAGGGCAGGGGGGCCGTGCGACTGAACAGCCTTTGCAGCTGGGACACATGCAGGTTAGAGGGCCAGGGTTGGGAGCCAGGCCCAGCAGGAGAGGAGAGAGAGGCAGCCACAGGTGAGAGGGCATGCAGGGTCAGGGGAGATGGGGAAGAGCAGAGATGGAGGCGAGGAAGCTGTGGGTGCAGGAAGGAGAAGCTTCCTTCCAACGGAGGAGGAGAGAGGAGCCACCGCTAGGACAGAGACATTTATGGGTTGAGAAAGAAACAGAAGGGACACGAGGCTCAGATCTTCCTCACCAGAGGGTGACTCAGACGCTCATTCCCACCACCCATTCACTACTGATCACTGACCCAGACACACCTGCTCACACACCACATCCTGCTGGAGGCAGTGGGAGGAAGTCCTGACCGGCTCATTTCCAAGCATCCTCCTTTCGGTCACCAGGACCACGGCTAGCACCCGAGACACAGCAGACACTCAGCACCCAACCCACACCAACACATCAACCCGGACCGCCAGGGCCCTGAGTGAGGACTGAGGACGCCAACGGGAATGAGCCATAGCTCTGCCCTGGAACAGCCATGCGCAGCCGGGGAAGAAGGGGTGACGCACCGAAGACACGGGAGCCCAGCCTCCCTCCACGTCCCAGGAGCATGGAGTGTGGCTGGAGGTGGCTGCAAGAGGCAGCCTCTGACCTGGGCGGGGTCTCAACCCTCCCTGCTGGGCCCCCCTCTCTTCCGCTCTGCTCTGCCTGTCTGCTCGTAGGCAGGCTGGTGGGATGTGAAACCGGGTCCTGGCCATACCTGTCCCCACAGGCACACTCCATGCCTGTCCTGACCCAGGAAGAAAGGCTGAGGAAGAGGGAAAGCCCCTCTGGCACCATCCAGCGCCTTTCCCAGCTGCCTACTAGGATCACAGGGTCACTGACCTCCTTGGGAGGGGGACTATTCAGGGGAGAATAAGATGGAGGGCTGATGTTTTTGACTTGTGGATGGGCTAGAAGGGTTTCTGGGATTTTGAAGGCCATCGACCTTGTATGCAAAATTGTCTCATTTGTCCATTACTGTCATCAAATCCTCAAAGGGTTCCAGCAGCCAAAGGTGGTTAAGAACAACTAGTTTAGGAAGAAGGCCCAGGCCTCCCCTTAAGATTAAGTGGGGTGGGGGCGCCTGGGTGGCTCAGTCGTTAAGCGTCTGCCTTCGGCTCAGGTCATGATCCCAGGGTCCTGGGATCGGGCCCCGCATCGGGCTCCTGGCTCCGCGGGAAGCCTGCTTCTCCCTCTCCCACTCCCCCTGCTTGTGTTCCCTCTCTCGCTGTGTCTCTCTCTCTGTCAAATATATAAATAAAATCTTTAAAAAAAAAAAGATTAAGTGGGTGGAGTAGGGCACGAAGACAGGATGGCTGAGGGAGGTCGTGCAGGCCTGCTACCTGCTCAAGTTCAGCGATCTGTTTGGGGCAGGGAGAAGCTAAAAGGAGAATCAGGTTGAAAAGACTCCCAGGAAAATGCTTTGGCCAGCAGTTATAGCCCTACAGCAACTCCTGACATCTGGATTTGATAAAGTTTGGGGCTAGAGGGGAAAGACTTCAGGTCAGAAACCTTGAGTTCCTCTCGCCTTTCCCATTTTCCAGAACAATCTCTGCCTCTCAACTGTAAAAGGGGTGTATCTACCTCCATCACTCGTACTCCAGGCTGATGATGTGGCTCGACTGAGATAACAGAAGTGAAGGCACCGGACCCTCCATAACTGCTATGTGTCCCCCGCATATGTCTCTGGGCCTCAGTTTCCCCTTCGGTTAACTGACAACAGTCTCTGCCTGATGCCTCAACCTAGGCATTTGTCAAGTTTAAATTATATGCAGGATGTGAGAGCTATTTAAAAGAATCAGAGACCCCAGTGTGTGTCTTTGATTATCATTACAAGAAAACTATTACTATTTTTACAAGAAAACGTCCATCATCCTGACCACACCTGACCCAAACCTCTCAACGTACTGGCCTTTTTGGTCTGTATCCACCCCCTCCCCCAACGAGAAGCCCTCCAATAACAAGAAAAGAGACCTTATAAAAATGAGTTAGTAAAAATAAATTCAAAGCCAACTGGAACTGGGGCTGAGGAATGCCCGGGAGTAACAACAGGGTGAACCCCATCTCTTTTGGGGCCCCATGCTCTGAGTCTAGTCTTGCCCTGAAAAGGCTGATCCCAGGGACAGGTTTATGAGGCTCCTCAGGCCACCAGGAGGCAATCAGCCCTGATCATCAAGCAGTGATGCTCACACCGTAGACTTTAAAAACGTAGAATTTAGCAGGAACGTTCCTTGCCAGGGCCGAAACCGCACAAGGCTGTTTGCCTCTTAACCAACTTAACCACATTCCTCCATCTTTCCTCCTCCTCCCCAGGCCAATTCCTGAGGCATCCTGGGGTTTCATGCAGTTATTTTGAGACTGATTCCTAAGAAGGGATGGTAACAGGATCTCCTGTGGGGCCCGAGATGCTGTATTCTCCAGGGTTTGCTATGGGAAGGGAATCACTTCTTTACAACACACCCTCACCCTGGAAACACTGAGCTAGATAATCAGTTAATATGTTATAAAGATGAATAAAATTATAATTTCCTTTACAGAGTACAGATGCTTTCCCTTCCATTGCCCTGCTTGATCTTCACACTGACCCCATGAAACAGCCAATGTATATCATCAGCTGTGCAGTAGATGAGGAAACTGAGCTTTGGCCCAAGCCCATGTGGTCAATTTTTAACTGAGCCAAGACCAGAAGGAAGGTCTACGGAGTCCTTATGCTCAGATGGTTTTGCCCTGGTGTTTGGGGTGTGCCACATGGGTTTATCTTGCCTCCTTTCTGCCCCCAAAGTCACAGCTTGGCTGTCCAGGGGGAGCTCTGCAAAGAAAGAGTTCCAAATGCCCAGCTCCTGGCCTGGCTGGAGGGGTGGACCGAAGCTAACTTCTAGAAGCAGCCGCTGGAGAGCAGAGCCTGCGGGTGGCATGGCGCCGGGACCACCACCTGGCTCTACTGGAACGCCAGGATGCCTGGAGTGACCAGAAGAGGTCTCGGATGGGGAAGGGCTAGGATGATGACTGTGGCTCTGGGCACTGCCTCGGGGACCGGGCAGAGGACAGGGCCACCACAGGTCTGTGGGTAAAAGGGAAACACAGCCTGTGAAAACATCAGGACAGGCCAGACATAGCCTCACAGGTCAAGCCCCTGGGGAGGCCGAGGAGCTGCTCTGCCTGGGAGCTCCAGCCAGCAAGCGTCCTTCGTGGCCAGCCAGGCAGCCTCACAGATCAGGGAGGCTGGGAAGGCCAGGCAGCTGCCCCAAGCAGCATGGGCCCCACGGGAGCAGACACGTCCATCTGCGGGGTCCCCAGCCTGGTGCTCAATCACTCTGCATTATTAATAGGCGATGACTAACTGCCTGGCGCTGCAGAGCCGGGACAGGCAGGCATGAGGGAATCCCAGGGGATGGCACCAGCACAGCCAGCAGGCACACGCGCTGAGACGAGGCGAGGAGCAAAGGGCCAGCCCCAGCTCCTGCCCTGCTCCTGCCCTGCTCCTGCCCATCACAGCCCAAGACTTGAGGGCCGGCCCCCACTGCTCGCCTCCCCCCAGAGCCCTGCCCAGGGTCAAACCTCCGCACCATCCCACAGCCCGCAGCTCACACCAGCGTTCACACGTGTGGAGTCACCAGCAGAAGCCCACAGACACACAGCACAGTCTCCCACTAACACCCCCTAAATGTCACACCAACATTTACCCACAGTCGCACCCACACACCAACACACACCAGCTGCGTTTACACAGACACCCACACCAACACTCACCGGGACCGAGCCCAACCCAAACAGAGGAGTTTGGCAACAGGGGGCCCCACTTCACCCCTCCTGCACCTCCTCCTCTCGTCCCCTCACGAGGGAAGGTAACCACCCCGTCAGAGGCCATGCGGGACAGGCAGGGGGACGGAGGTCAGGGGAGATGGGGCGGGGGGTGGGGGGAAGGAAGACAGTGTGAAACACAGTGTTAGTCCGAACAGCAGAGCGGTGGGGGGAACTGGCCGCTATCCCTCCTGGGGGGAAAAGACCATTCATGCCATGCAAATGTTGGGGGAGACGGAACCACGAACCCTCAAGGCTGAGGAGGGAGGGAGGGGATGTCACCTCTTCCCTGGCAGCCAGCATAGAACAGCACCCAAACTGGTGTGAACTGGTCCCGGGCCGCTCCACATCTCCCAGGGCCATCCCCGCCCCCCCCTACAGAACCTGCCCAGCTGGCTGCCACTGGAGGCTCAGCCCCAGCCCCCGACTCCCAACTGGAGGGGCCTGTCCAGGAGCTGACAGTGACCAGAGCGTAGCATGTCATGGGATGGTGTTTTCCATGGATTTTCAGGAGACCAAGAAAGAAACTAAATCAAAGAGAAAAAACGAGGGAGTGGGGGGTGTGGGGGAAAAGGAACAAAATAAAGCAATAGAAATCAGCAGCCTGGCATTGGGGCTGGTCTAACCAGAGCCGATGAACATGGGGCCTGCCCCCAAGTCTCTCTGGCCAGGAATCTGAATTCAGGACTCAGGGTTAGAGCAAGGACAGGCCAAATTCCTCGATTTCCATTTGTCTTTTGGATTTGAGTTTGGGCCAAAAAAGAAAGAAAAGGGAAAGAGGAAAACTAAAAGAGAGAAGCAAAATCTAAAGATTGTCCAGGACGCCAAAAACAATCGGAAGAGCAAAACAACCAAAACCAAACGGGGAAAGGAACCAACAAAAGAGGGAGAATCGAACAGTTAAAAAAACCCACGGCAAACCAAACGGTAAGACAATTAGAGTGATATCTACCAGATAATGCAGTTTGTTTACCATAGCGTGTCCAATCCCTGCGTGCTTCACCGGAGATATGGGGGAGGGGTGGAGGGGGTCAAAAAAAAAACAACAACAACAAAGACAACAACGAAAGAACAGAACGAAAAGAAAAGAAAAATAAAATGACCAACTGTGAAACTCAAGGAAGGAGGAAAAATATATATCCATATATATTTGGTTGGTGGTTCGGACCCTCCCACCTTAGGCTCAGCTAAAGCATTCTGTTTAAAGAAAATTAAATTATAATGGGAGGGAGAAATAAAACACACAAAAAAATTAAATCCCTTCTTCTCCCCATCCCCCCTCCCAACCCCTCCTCTGGATTCCTCTACCCCCGCAACCCCCTCCCGGAAGAGCCGGCTGCAGAGAAGGGGAACAGTTAAAGACCTTGGTTAGTAGAGAAGAAAACAACAAAAGAACTGGACCAGGAAAGCAAAGACTTAAAGATGGCCGACATTCCGCAATGAGACAGAAAGGTTAGTTCGGTTTTTCACTCATACCTCACCCCACCTGTCCCTGCCATCCCTTGGTCCCCTGGGTTATAAGCGTGTTAGTAACACACACAGAGTCGGCAACGGGGTTTTCCAACAGAGGGTGAGAGAGGGAAGGCAGGGGGTTAAGAAGCAGACCCAGTTATGCAGTATTAGTAAGTCCTTTCAGCTGAAATGTTAGGGAGTTGAGGGGAAGGAAGGGGGGGAACAAGGGATGTGAGAAGGGATGGGCTATTGACTCGGGTAATGGACAATGGGCTGTTGGCTAACTGGTCAACCAGATGGCCTTCTAGAGAACTGGCCAACTGGCTGACCAGTGACCATATTGAGTTAATGGGTTAACTGGTTGGTGATGGGCCAGCTGGCTGTCAGGCCGGGAGAAGGGTGCCCAACGGCCCTAGAGAATCACAGGACTGGCTAGAATGAGAGGCAGTTTCGTTTGGAGGCAAAGGGAAGAGGTTCCCAAGGAGCATAGGAAGGGATATAGGGGTCTGCTTTTCCTGGGCATGGAGGATGGGCAAATCGATCCAGGGAGTATTGGAAGGAAGGGGGCACCTTCTCTTTTATTGTTTCTCTTCCTTGAGAAAAGGAGAGAGAGTCGCCACCAGAACAGGGAAAGGGAAACTTTGCCCCCCGTGGGCTGGCAGAGGGTTCATGTTCACGGCATATCTCATTCCTCTCCTTCCACTCTCCCACTCATCACTGATCCCTCCTTCCTGCCTAACTTGACTTTCCAGAGCCCATTCCCTTCCCCCTAAAGTTCCCCAGGTTCTTCAAACACCCCACCCTCGGTCCCTTATGCTCCTCTGGGCAGCCACCCATCCTGGAATAAAGGGCCCCCACCACCACCCCTGCAAGTCCCTGGAATCGGTAAGGCTTTCCCAGCAGCCCAGCCTCCTTCCATGCACACCCACAGACCCCTGAGCCTCCACTCCCCCCAGCCAGCACCAGAAATCCATATCCCCCACCCACCACACCATAAAAAGGAACGCAGAGGCCCACCCATCTCTAAAACCCCTCACTCCTCCCTAAGCCATAAGCCAGCTGCTTCTTTCCCAGTCTCTAGAGTCCGCACCCCCATGTGGCCCTGTTTATTTTCTCTTCTCAAGGCCAAAGGCAGAGGCCACAATCACCTTCCCAATAACCCTGTCCTTGTGGAGGAGAAATCAAAGGGACTGAGGCAGCTTCACAGAGGGTATCAGAAATGGTGGGATACTATTGCTCGATATCCATTAAACACTAAACTGCACACCCGAGAGCGTGATCTCAAGAAGTATTCTAGGGACAGATCCATTAGTTACAGCATTATTATCACCGGTGGGCACAGGACTAACTCAGAAAGACAATTAATAAGGGCCTCGTATAATGAAAAATAACAGAATTCTACATATAGCAGCTAGAAGAAGTGCCAGATAACCAATATCAATTATTAGTGATGCAGAAGCAGTTTACATAACGGGAAGGCAAGAGTCGAATGTCAGATGCAGTGACCAGTGCGAGGCGCTAACCCAGGATTCGAGAATTAGTACTGCCGGTGGGACTGTTGCGAAGTGAAGAGGCCAACCAGTCAGGACAAGGGACAATTAGTTCCAGGGCAGCTAAATCAATTGCACCCCAAAAGGTAAGAGTTGTCTGATATCCCTGACTAGTTTAGCAATGCAGAAAAAAAAGGCGTGGCGGGGGGCGGGCGGGGCGGTTGGGGATCAGAGGTAAAAATCCAACTACTATTATTCTTTTTGAACTAGAACTGGTTGCAGAGACTAAAATTAAAAAAAAAAAAAAACGTTTTCAACTTTCTTGGACAACTTTAATTTTTAACAAGTAGAACAGCAAATTCAGAAGCAGGACTGAGAGGAAAGAGATGTGAGTTCAAAGCCTGGGCCTGCCACTTATGTCAGGACATCCCGGCCTCCTCTGAAAAATAGCAAGTTTGGAGTAGGTGAGGCAGTGGCAGGTCCAGAACCCAAAACCCGGGGCGACTGTGGCCAAATTAACTAGAGTGGAGAGGGTACTGGAAGCCATTCCTGGTGGCCTGTGACACAGCACAAGGAAGGGGTCCACGGAGCAGCCCGTGCCTTCCCGAATGTCAGGATGTGGAAGACTAAGGCTTCCCACTAGCACATGAGTGGTAAAGGCTCTTCCGCACTCTAGGAACAGAGGACTCCTGGAGTCCAAGAGCACAAGAATGATGGCGGAGGAGGAAGGAAGAAGGCATCAAGTCATGGGGGTGGGGGTGGGGCGCAGCCATTATATCCGGGGGCAACTTAGCCCCCTCCCTACCTTGAACTCTGGCTGTAGCTCTAACCCCTCAAGAAAGTCAAGACGGGGACTCTACACACAAATCATAAATCACAGAACTCTGGATGAAGGCAACCTTCGCAGAGCTTGAGGAAGAGCAGCTCGGGACAGAGAAGAGGTGCTCACTCTACTCAGGGATCACAGGGACCCATTTTTCAGAGAGATATTCAGAACGCTCAGATGGTTTCGAGATTCGGGAACATCCAAGAATGGCAGATCCACAAGACAAATTACGAATTCGAGCAGCCTTTGCACTTTGCACCAGCGACAACAACCAGGCTCTCCCTGGGAGGCAGGAAAATGGGCGTAGCTTTGAAGTCGGACCGACTTCTGACTTCCAGTCCTACCCTTTCCTAAGCGGATGGGGAGGGGGGGTTGGGGGGGCAAGCTCTCTAACCTGTGAAGTCTCAATTTGCTCATTGATAAAATGGGAGTATGTCCCACTGCACAGGATGGTTCATGAAAATTAGGTGAGATACAAAAAGAAAAGAGATTGTCAGTGTCTTCCGAGAAACGCTGTAAAAAGAAAGAACACAGTCCTGAGACACTTCAGAGGGGTGGAGGGAGAGGCTTGCTTTCCTCTGGTTTGTAAGGGAAGAGGAGTTGTTCCCAGGGCATCAGAGACAGTGTGATATTGGGGTGAAACAGATCGGCTGGGTCTTCATGTCCAAAATCTCACCAACCAGCTTCAAGAAAGCACCTAAACGAACCAGAAAAAACACTTGAAAAACAGCTACAAATGCGCACTAGCTGCTGGTTTTAAGCCCTCAAGAATGGGACCACCTGGTAAAGAGAAGAAATGAACACGAATATCGACCACGCAGAAGGAATGTGATGACAGGGCTGGAATGCATTGTCTCATCGGCAGTGTCTCCCCAGGGGGCCTGAGGGGACACGTTGTCCTTGGTTGAGAACCACAGCTCTAGGGATGACAGGAGCACCCCCAAAAAAAGGCAGAGACTCGAAGGGCCTGGTAAGGATGGACTCAGCCACAGGCTGGGCCTTGAGTGGGGACAGTGAGTCCAGAGCACAAGCCCGAGGCTGACCTTCTCGGGGATCGTCACAGTGACAAAAACAGGACTGCACCTCGCATGTATGGATGTGGATCCCTCCAGAAACCCTTCCTAAACTGCACTCTCAATCAAAGTCTTTGGGCAGACACCCTCTTTGGCCCTGAAGGCCTGTGTTGGGGTCACCATGACCGGACTCTGCTCTGACCCGTCGTAAGAGACCGGGGCGGGGGGAGGGGGCGCCTGGGTGGCTCAGTCGGTTAAGCGTCCGACTCTTGATTTCAGCTCAGGTCATGATCCTGAGATCGAGCCCCATGTTGGGATCTGTGCTCAGCTGGGAGTCTGCTTGAGATTTCTCTCCCTCTCCCTCTGCCCACTCCTCCCACTCAGGCGTGCGCTCTCTCTCTCAAATAAATAAATAAATCTTAAAAAAAAAAAAAAGGCCAGGGGGAAGTGATTTTCAGCAGTTACCAGCCTGAACCCCCGACTCTGGGAGCTGAGGAAGAGGCCACCGTGGGTCACTGTCTACACTCAGTACTGCTGAGGCCAGACCTCATCCGCCTCCCCTAGTCTCCTCTTGGTGACTCTCAAGCTCCTAGGACTTTTAGGGTCCCTGCTGCTCCCTTGGCACTTGTGTAGTTTTGCTCTGCTCACTTTTAACAGACTCCTCCTGTCTCCTCGGGGGCCAAAGGGCTGGGAGGGCGTGGACTGCCTTTTTTCCCTCTGTACCCAGTGTGGATGCACAATACGTTTGTTGACCAACAACACGTGGATGGGGACCCTGGGCTTGCAGCGTGTTGCCAGAGGTCGGTACCGGGTGACAGCACCGGTCCTGCGGAGGGAAAACCAGCAAGAAGTACCAAAACAAGCCCTCCGGCCCCCAGCGGGCACCGTGTGCATGGCACCTACGAGTGGAACGAATGTATGGGACACACTCAGGTGCACTCAGACAATAGAGACAACACAGAACCGACCTCTGGTCAGAGAACGATGTGACGGGAAGCAAGGCAGGGCACCGGGCTTGGTACCCCGTGGAGGACGGGGAGCACAGAGAACAGGCCCAGAGGTAGGAGCCCCACAACCACGGCAAGTAGCAGGCTCAGGAAAGAGCAGCAGGATTCGTCACGGAGGCCTCCCAGCAAGGGGGAAGGCGCCAAAGGAGGTGGATTCCCCATTCGATCATCCCCCAGTGGTGGTGAAGAACAGGGAGGAAGAGTGTGAGGTCAGCCGGGATCCCCACTCCCACGGAGGAGCCCGTCAGGGAGGACCCGGGGGGGGGGGCGGAGAAGGAGCATGGCAAGGACTATGAGGAGGAGAGGCAGCGGAAGGCTAGCTGCCGCACAGCTAGAACTCGGAAGTACAGGGAAGGGAACTAGCAAGAGGAGGCCTAACCCAGCAGCGGTTAAGTGCCTCCTGGGACAGAGACGGTCCGCGTTCCTGGCGGCACTCAGCCCGCTGGAAATGGAGCTGGATGAGCTTCCCGGCCACTCGCTGCAAGAGAGAGCAGTGCATCCAAGAGAAAAGGACCAGCAGAAGCCCAGGCCCCTGGCTCCTGCCTGAGTGAACAGAAAAAGGAGTCAGGAGGTGGAGACAAGCATCACTGGATGCACAGTGGCCGCGCTGGTTTGAAGAAGGGTCTGGCTGGGACTCTGCTTGAGGCAGGAGCTTGCAGGATCGGAACCGGGAGGTTGGGGGGGGTGGTGTCAAGCAGAAGCCTGGCCAGAGAGATGGCCTCACCCACCGTAGCCACCCTGGTCCTTATAAGTGGCACGGAGGCCACCACGAAGATGGTAGAGCTGATACCCTCTCCAGGTGGTCCATCTGGGAGCCAGAGCTGAGGAGCCACTGCAGAGAATCTCGTCCTTCCTGCAGGGGCTGGCCCAAGGGCCTCCTCTGGGCTCCTGCAAGGGGCCCAAGGGCCACGGAAAGATCGCCATGGGCTGCTGGGCCCTCTGGGAAGAGCAAGGAGAAGGAAGTGTGCCGCCCTGAGGAGAGGCGGGGCCGAGCACACCCTGCAGTCCTGCTCTCCCTCACACCTGCAGGACCTCGACCCTGCCCGGACCCCATCCCTGCTTCTGCTCTGGAAAGGCCCCGCCTGAGGGCAGGCCGCACTCTGTCCCCACGTGTACATCTGCGCCCTTCCGCCCTAGAATCAGGGTACCCACAGCTACTATGCCAGGCCAGAGCCTTTCCACAGGCTCCCAGGGCCCACCCACCCAGGCTCTACCGCCCTCCTCCCGTCTCCCAAATTGCCCTCCTGCCAGGTCACCTGACTTCTTAGCCTGGGGCCCTTGAAAGCCTAGCAGCGGCCACCAGTGTGAGCCAGGCCCTTTCCCTTCCCTCAGGCCCCCGCCCCGGGCCGCTCTACAGTCTCCTCTCCACTGGGCTTCCTGTTGCTTGCAGCCTGCCCGCGGCCCCGCGCTCCTGGGCCCTCACACCCCAAGCCTGGAACTTCTCCAGAACCACACCTCATGGGCCAGGCCCTGAGTCCTCACACCCACAGCGCAGGCTGCCCCCTCGCAGCGCTCCCATCCACCCCAGTACAGCTGCCCCCCCCCCCCCCCCCCCCCCACCTCTTTCTTGCTCCCCCTACCTGGCGCAGGTTTCGGGTGACCCGGACGTCGTGCCAGGCGTTGTCGTTGAACTTGCCGTTGACGGGTTCCACGAGGGCCTCGAAGGCTCCTGAGCCCAGGTTGATGACCAGCCAGACAGCCCCAGACTTGAGGGACAGGTTGACATAGTCGGCCGACTTGCCCGTGTGCAGCATCAGCCCGTTGCGCTGCAGCGTGCGGAAAGCCAGCGTGATCTCGTCCGTGCTGCTCTGGATCGGGTTGTGCGACAGGTCGTAGCAGAAGAACTCGTTGCCTTTGAAGGTCGCCACGAACTCCTCCTTGCCTGGATGCCGCGGTGTGGGGAAACAGGAGAGGCTGAGTGGGGCTGGGCACGCCAGACTTCCCGCGGCCCCTCCAACGGCCCGGGGCGTGGGTCCTGGGCACCGGCGGGAGCCCCACAGCCCCCTCTGCAAGCTTCAGGCCTTCTTCCATTCCCCCGCCCGTCCACCCTCCTCTCTGGACCCGGACGTCTTGACTGTCAGAAGTCCACTCCGCCCGTGTCCATTTCCAAAGCAGGAGGCTGTTAAGTGGCTCTCACACTGACAACTGACAATTTAGCTGCCACGGGACCAGGAAAAGAGGACGTTTGCACTCTCTCCTCCCCGGCCAACCCTCCATCGGCCACTCCCCTGAACAAAGGGATGCGGAAGAGCCTCCACCTGCCTTCTCCCTGGAGTGCCTCCCCTAAGGCTGGGGCACCGAGGGTCTCCTGAGCGCAGCCCGCCTTCCACCCCTGCCCCTTCTCTGGTGATGGTCATTCTCAGTGCCCGGGGCAGTTTCAGGCCTCTTGTGGGGGGATGGGAGCAGGCCTGTTAGGCGGCAGGGAGCAGTAGAGGAGGATGGGGAGCGGTGGGGTGGGGTAAGGCATTGGGAAGACACACGGGAGGACAATGCAGGTGACAGCGATATGCACTGGGGAGCTGTGGGCCACCGGGTGAGGCTTATACAGATGACCGCAGGCCAGCTACCATCCCCAGCCCCATCTGCTACTCCAACCTGAGAGGCGAGTGCAGACGGGCCCTAGGCGGAGAGCCTCTCAAGGGCCCCAGAGGGCAGGGGTAGGACCCCTGAGTGCCAGCAGACGGCTGTGGGTCTTGTGCGCACGTGCATACGTGTGTGTGTGTAAGCACCTGGCACAGGGCTCCCTCCAAGGGCACTTCTCAAGCAGAAGCAAAAAAAGACTGGGAGACCCTAGGGATTTGTAGCGTCTGTAAGTGGGTGACAAGTGACAGGACAACAGCTGTGCGGAGGGACGTTGGGGTCCCAGCCCCACACCTCCACAAGCTAGAGCACACACAGGAGGAAGAGAACGGGACACAGAGTCAGGGCACAGCAGAGGACGTGGACGATGACAGGGACTCACTTCTCCCCAGCACACAGCGCTGCAATGGCTCATCCCGCCCACCTCACAGGGTGGATGAGGGCAGGGATGGCCGGCCTCAGGCCCTCATGGAGCGCAGGGGTTCTCGGTCTAGGCCACCAGGCCCAGGAAGGAGCAGGGCGCAATGCCGGGGCACACGCACAGCCCTCTGAAGACACCTGTGCCCCTGTGAGCCCAGCCACAGTAGCAAGCACCATGTGTGGGAGCGGCCGCGACCCAGGTGCGCTTCCCGCAGATGCCCCTCCCCGGCACACAACAGCCCTGCTTCTCTCCCTCCGGGCACGCTGCCCGTAGACTCCATCCTCACTGCCTCCGGGTGCCAAGGCACCAGCTGCTGCCCCAGAGCCTGGCACCGCACCCACTGCAGCTGGCAAGGCCCGGTTTCCTGAGGCCACGGGGCCGTGAGGCTGGTGGGGGCAGGAGCAACAAGGGGGCAGTCGGAACCCTACTCTGCCTACCCTCGGGCTCCAGCGAGAAGGGCCAGAAAACATAGGGGAGAGAGGCTGAGATGGGAAGGGGACGTGAGGAAGAAGGGCCACGCAGAGGGGGGCCACAGAGAGGGGGAAAGATGGCCATCAGAGGCAGAAGGGACATGGAGCCGGCTCAGAGCACGGATGGAGCAAGAGGTGACAGAGCGAAGCAGTCTGGTTAAAGACAAGCAGCGAGCCGAGGGGGGACAGGAGAGGGGGGACGGAACGGGGCCAGCAAGGAAAGGGGGACAGGGGCCTCTAGGGAATGGAAGCCAAGGCTTTCTCGGGGCCTGGCCGTTTCCATAGCAACTAGGCCTGCTGCCCAAGTCCTGGCAGAGCCAAGGGGGCTCAAGGACCAGGGAAGGGGACGCGTTTGACCTTGGGTTTGCCACACGTACTAGTCCTTCCCAGAAGCCAGGCCTCCCCTCCCGTTCCCTCACCTTCACTGCAGTCAAAGGAACTATCATTAAAGGCACAGTCAAACAGAAAGAAAGAATAAAGCAATCACGTGAAGAAGCGATGGGGCCAGAACAAAAGAGACCAGAGAGGAGGGCCAGGGGCTGGACCACAGCTGCCAAGGTGAAATGAAGAAACACGGCCATTCCTCGATTCCTCTAGGCCCTGCCTCGGATCTCCTAGGAGAGGAGGCAAAGCCAGCCATGGAGTCGGAGGAGTCTACGCGTTCTCCAATTGCACCAGCGACCCGGATAGGCCCAGAGATGGACAGGGGCTTGGAGCAGCCAGACAGGGTGGGAAAGAATTGGAAGAGAGGAACAGAATGGAGGTGAGCAAATGTGAACAAGACAACCCAAAGATGGTGGGAAGGACAGAGACAGACCCCGAATGGGGACGAGGGCAGCAGGACCTCAAGGGATTGATGGGGGCCTCTGTGGCCATAAGGATGCCCACCCAGGGTGTTCAGGGGGCCGCAAACCAGACCTGGGAGGAGCCAGACCCAAAGCACCAAGGGGCGCTGCCACCCACCATTGCGCACAGACCCCCCGGGACTACAACTCCCCGCAGGGCTTGAGCAACAATCTCAGCTCCTGGTGCCCACCCCCCACCCCACCCCCGCACAGGAAAGGGGGTCAGGGCTGATTCTTGTTCACCTCCCGTGGTCAGGGAGTGGGGAGCCCCACAAGTGTCCCCAGTCAAGCTGAATGTGGCTAGAGACCAGTTGTCACAGAGCCGTGAGGGACAGAGCAGTGGCCTCCTTTCTGGGCCCAGCTCAAAGCCCTCCACTGGGAAGGTCTCCAGCCCTCCGTCGCCCCTCCCTACTCTCAAGCACTCCAGCTGTCTGTTCTGCTCATTTGGCACTTACTGCCTAGTAACATCTTGTACTGCTCCCTGGAGAGGAAGTGTGGTGTGAGAAAGAAGACCTGACCTTGACCAAGAGGCAAATCTCTAAGCCCCAGCTTTCTCCGCTGGACAAAGGGGCTGACCGTTGACCTACCTCACAGGTTGCTGTGCCATCTGGAAGGAGAACAGATGGGATGGAGCTTTGTAAACTGTAAACCATGCCACTAATAAATGACTCTCGCACTGGTGTGTAACTGTGTGTGTGTGTGTGTGTGTGTGTGTGTACGTGTGGCCTCTCTCTCTAAATGAATGAATAAATTAACTCCTCTTGGACCAAGTCTGCACTTTTCATACACTTTGCACGGACCACGCTTTCTTGTAGTTATTTGTTAGAATGTCAATGAGCCCCTTGAGAACAGAGACCATTCACCCATATAAAATAAAGTTGCCAAGGGCGCCTGGGTGGCTCAGTCATTAAGTGTCTGCCTTCGGCTCAGGTCATGATCCCAGGGTCCTGGGATCGAGCCCCGTGTCGGGCTCCCTGCTCGGCGGGAAGCCTCCTTCTCCCTCTCCCACTCCCCCTGCTTGTGTTCCCTCTCTCGCTGTGTCTCTCTCTGTCAAATAAATAAATAAAATCTTTAAAATAAAGTTGCCAAGCACATGCCCACATTGGTGCCAGGAGCTGTGTAAAGCACTGGGGGTGTACAAATGACAACACCCCACCCCTGCCCTCAGGGAGCTCGGTCTTGGGGGAGGAGGAGGCAAACAGGGGAGTGACAGTAACGATGCAGGATAACGGCGGTGAGGGATAAAATCGACGCGTAGACAAAGGCGACAGTGAGCAGCGTATGGGTTTGCTTGCAGAGTTCAGGGGAGACTTCCAGGGTAGAGGGCCTGGCCGCTTTCTCAAGAGTGGGCTGAGAGAGACACCGAATAGTTGGGAAGAAGGCAGGGACGGCGGAAGGCCAAGCCAACAGCCCAGCACGTACGAGGGAGCAAAGACGGGACTCGGGACGCAGTAGCCCCAGAGCTTGGCACCCACTGAGCTCCTTGAGGGTTGCCAAACTGCCCCCCTGAACTCCTTAGGAAAGAGATTCTCTTTTTGTTTTGTTTTTTGTTTTTTTATTTTTTTTTTAAGATTTTATTTATTTATTCGACAGAGAGGGAGACATCAAGAGAGGGCACACAAGCAGGGGGAACGGGAGAGGGAGAAGCAGGCTTCCCGCGGAGCAGGCAGCCCGATGCGGGGCTCGATCCCAGGACCCTGGGATCATGACCTGAGCCGAAGGCAGACGCTTAACCGACTGAGCCACCCAGGCGCCCCGGAAAGAGATTCTCTTAAGAGAAGCAGCCTGAGTGCAGAAAAAGTCACTGAGAACCTACAGAGGCCTGAGACAGACCGAAAGCCAGCTGCGGGGGCTCAGGCAAGTGTCAGTTTCCCCATCTGTAAACCCAGGGCAACGAGGCCTTCCACAAAGGGTGGTGAAGACTCATTTAGGGGAGGCATACCTATCATAAAGGCCTCATCTCCTACCCAGAATCCCCCGGGGCTGCTGGTACCCGGCATAGCAGGCTTCCAGAATTTGATGGTTAAATGGGGAAGGTACCCTGCTTCCCAGATACTTTCTAAGGACAGGCCTGAACATCTGCCACCAAAAGTCATCTGTGTTCTAGAAAAAGGTCATTAGGACAACTGGGATTTGGGAAAGAAATGGAGGTTTGTGGCCCTTCACACCAGGGTAGGTCCCAGGGATGCAGGCCCGGCAGTCTCCATGGACCTCGGAGGGGGGACAAAGGGGCACACCTCTGTTGACTCAGCTGCCCCCCCCAAGGAAGTGCATTTAGCCTGCAAGGGGTGAGGGCTGGGCTCTCTGGGGACTGTGGGGTCACTGACCTTTTGTTGGCTGGTGCACATCGCCGGCTCCTCCTCTCCCGGCCCCCCCCTCGGAGAACAGTAAGGACCCTACTGGAGAAGCAGAATTGGGGAGTCAGGCACAGGGGGCTACCCAGCCAGTCCCACCCCAGCCTTGAGGTGATGGAAGGCCCTCTCCAGGGTAGAGGTCCTGCTTGGAGGTACAGGTGGGGCACAGGGGCGCTCTTCCGGGGGCTCACTTGCTTCGGGGCCTCTGGGGAAGGAGCCAGATGACAAACCCAACAGGCCTACAGACCCCGTGAGACTCAAGCCACCAACTTCTGCCCTCAGCCCAGGGGTGGGGAGACTGCGGGGAGGAGCAGGGGGCTCCCTGCTGGTTCAGGAGCTCCTTCTTCCCAAGAACATGCAAATAGGCCAGCCCTGGGGACCTGCAGGCCCCTAAGCTTCTACTTCCAGATTCTCAGCTCACTCTCCTCCCCACTCTGCATCTTCTCGCACCTTCTCTGCAGGGCGGGAGTTCATGCTTTTCAACTTCTCCAAAAGCCTGACACAGGCACCCCTCCTCCCAGACCTTCCTGATTCACACACCAAAGGCCTCCTCTTGTGTTCTTGGCCTGTCCCCAAGGCAAACCTGATTCTCCATCTACACCTGGTTCACTCAGTAGTGAGTGTTCTTACTGTCACCTCTGTTCCCTGCTTTGCCAGTTAGATCAGATCATGGGGCTTCCCAGGGCCAGGGCCATGGTTTGTGTCTGTTCTTTGCGCCTTCAGCAGGGCTGTGCATACCAAGAGAGAGGTTCTGCCTGACTGGAGCTCGTCATGTATGTGGGGAAGGCCTTTCTCAGGGCTGACTTCCCACTTCCCACCTCCCCCCACCCCACCCCCCACACACAGCTCATCAACCCTCCGGCCTCCTCTCCAAAGCCCCCACAGACACATGTTATCGCACTGGCTTCCAGGCTGGCTTGAGCTCTCCACACCCCCCACCCCCGACAGTGACTCGTGCACCCAGCGCCTGGCTCCCGGGCCCCCACACCTATTGCTAGACCCCACAGGATGGCTTGAGAATGGAGTTTAAACGTCCATGCCTGGGCCCTTATTCCACCTCAATCCCAAATCCCCACCAGTACAGCTAGAATCACACCTGAGCTGTGGACCTTTCAGGGGAGGGGGAAGCGGGGCTCTGGGTCCTTTGGGTCTTCATCTATGACAAAGGTGTGCCACCACCAACACCCCCAGAACCAGGCATTGAGAGGCAAGAAGGAGGTGAGTGAACCAACCCTGTCCTGCACCCCCTCAGAACGCCTCCTTTCCCCCCAGTTTTTGCCATGATTTCACATCCCTGGAAGAAGCCCAGGGCCCTACCTTCCCAGACCTAAATCCATCCCAAATTCCAGGTCTGCGTCTCTCCCCACAGCCCAGTCTTCGTCCCCTAGGCCTCTCCTGCCTACAGGCTAAAGACCCCCCCTCTACTGACAATGAGCCCCGACAGAGGACTGCCCTGGGCTTGGGGAGCAGTGCCTAAGGGTCCAGAATAGCTGAGCTCAAGAGTCAGGGATGGGGAGGCCAGGGAGAGCTCAGCGCTGGGGTGGGATCACAGTCAGGATCCCTGGGCTGTCAGGTCTGCTCAACACCGGGCTTTTAAAGATGGTAGGGACTTGGTTGAAGGGAGGCTAAAAATAGAGAAGCAGCCCCAATGGTACCACCGACTAAAGGCCATATAATCACTAACGAGTCACCTCATCTCTCTGGGCCTGAATGTCCTCATCTGTCAAACAGGGTCAAGAGATGTTGGTGAGGGCGGACGGTGGGACAGCTGTGCAAAGGGGGCATCCTGCACCCCAATCCCCTGCCTCTCCCTGCTTCGCTGCCGCTGTGGACAGAGGGGACACCCCGCAGCAGCAGGGGGAGGGTGGCGAGGCTGCCTAGAAGCCTCTTCCTCCAGCCCATGCTTTCCTCTTTGTACTTGGGTCCACAGAAAAGAAAGAATGATCAGAATGAGTGGAAGGAAATAAAACACCACCATGAGAAGGGGAAAAGAAGATACACTACCAGGAAAACGCAAAAGGGTGACTTGGAGACAGCGGCAGGAGTTGCAACATCTCTTGATGTCAGAAACCAAGGTGACATGAGCGCGGATGGAGCGCGGCAGGGAGGGCGGGGGAGGGAGAGCACAGATGGGGGGGCCGGCCCCGCCCCCGCCCCAGCACCCCAGTCCCAGAACACGGAGAGACGACAGAGGCAGCGGGCAGGAAGGGCAGGAAGGGCAGGAAGGCAGTGGGACAGGTGGAGGCAGGGAGAGGGGGCAGGGAGAGGAACAGAAAATCCAGTCGCAGGTTGGGGGCAATCCAATCCAATCCAGTCCAAACCAGCACTTCACACCATACCTTCGCTGTTTAACGTCAGGTGAGCCGGACCTTGGAAAGGGGAAGGGGAGAAAGAAAGAAAGGGGAAAAAAAAAAAAAAAAGGAGAAAAGAGAAAGAAAAGGGGAAAGAAACAAAGAAAACACGAGTCATCAAAATCAGCCAGAGAGAGGGGAGAAAAAAGCTTTTGCTGCCACAATTTAAAAACCCTTTTTAACTTGTGACAGGCATCGAGGGGAAAGCCCCCAGCCCCGGAAGCTGAGGAGAGGGGCCCCCGATGCCAGAAACAGGGAGGAGGGCGCGAGGGGGGGACAGAGAGAAAGAGAGAGAGAGAGAGTGAGAAAGGGAGGACCAGGGCGGTGAGGGGTACAGGCAGAACCAGAGGAAGGGTGGGGGCGGGGAGTCACTGCAAGGGGGGAGAGGAGATTTTGGTTTCTTTTTTTTTCTTCTTGCCGGAAAAAAAAAAAGGAAAAGGAGGAGAAGCATGAGGCTGGGAGGGCTGCTTTTTCCTTTTTCTTTTTTTCTTTTTTTTTTTTTCTTCCGGGAGGCGGAGAGAAAAAAAAAAACAGTCAACGAGAAAAAACGGTTCGGATGGAGGAGAAAAATAAAACACGACACAAAAATCAAAGCCACCTGGAGAGAGAGAGAGTGTCCTGTTAGCGCAGGAGTAAGTGGCAGGGGGGACCTCCGACCCCACTCCCCACCCCTCGCCCTCACCCCTGTGAGGCTGGCAGAGAAGGTGGAGGGGGGTGTGCGGGGCCTGGGCCTAGAAGGAATCTCCCACCAAAGTGGGCTTTGGAAAGGCATCTGTCCAGCCCCAGTCCTTCCAGCTGCCCACCTCCCCAACAACCTCCATTCGGATTGCCGAGCTCCTGGATTCTATGAGGAAAGCGGGGCTCTCGGGAGGACAAAGTTAGAGCAGAAGCAGAAAGGAGGCCGGGAAATGCTGGAGCAGAGATCCTGAGCTTGGATCCTTCCAGAGGGAGGACGAGGAGACTAGGGCCCACACTCTGGGAGAGCAAGAACCAAAGAGGACGGCCAAGGCCCGTGGGCAGGAGGTCTGGCTCTCTGAGAGGTCAGAGGTTCTCTACGGACCCCCTTTCTCTGGTCTGGCCCTCTCTGAGATGAGCCAAAAGCTGAATTTTGAAAATGGAGAACAGAAGTCCTATCTCCAAGACTCAGGGCATGATGGGCTGAGATTTTTTTTCCAGGGTTACCTCGGCCCCTTGAAAAAGCCTCGTCAGCCCTGAGCCGGGCCTTCCTAAACCTTAGGGGGAAAGACTCTGGCCCAATGGACCAGCACCCTAGTTCCCAGAGAACACCAGCCACAGAAAGCCTTCCCCCAGAGAGGCTGGCAGCACCAGGTCCCCAGCAAAGCTGAGGCCCCCAGGGCTCCCTGACAATGACCAGCCAGGCCCTCCCTCCCCCGCCACCCTGCATCCCAGGTCTCTAGCCAAAGGGGTGGGCAAGGAACAGCCCCTGGAAACCATCCCAGTGCCGTGGCAATGAGAGGGTGGCCCTAGGGACAAAAGACCAGGCCAGAGTGGGATTATCAAGGTAAAGGACTCCAGGTGCCTCTGAGACAAAGCAGAGGCCAGGATGCCTGTGCTCCGGGAGGTCAGGAAGGGAGTGGCCAGGGGCCAAAGGCCTGGACCCTGTGCAAGATGTGGGGCAGCGGTTCACCTCGCCCCCTACTCCTCTCCTGGGGGAAAGGCATGCGTCTCCCCCCACCTCTGTGTCTCAGGCCGGTTGGGGGAGGGGACGGCAGCTGCATCAGGATCGAACAGCTCTTGGGAAGACAAAGGTTTTATCCACAAAACAGGGGAGGACCAAGCATTTGGACTGAATCTTACTCTTTGCTCTGAATGCCCCCCACAAACTTTCCCCCAAGGTCTACTACCAGCATCTTCTTCCAAACCCCCTAAATCCAGGAGGCAGACCTAGAGCCCTAAACCTTCACCTAACTCTTCCAGGCAGAAATAGCCTCGCCTGTAGTCTCCAGCCTTGGAAATCCAGGCCCAGGAGCTGGCGGCCCTAGGACTGGCGCTCTGTCCCCCACAGGCCTGTGCAGCTGCGTGGGGTAGGGACGGAGCCAAATCTCTCCCCTCGCAGACCCTTCCACTGCCCAGCTCCCAGGCAGCCTCATTAGCATGCGGCACTCTCCCTCTGTCACCACGGCAACCAGCTGCTCAGCGCCCTCAGGCGTGACAGCACCAGCCATCTTGGTGACAGGGAGGTCCATTCCCTGCCCTGTCTACCCATGGCTCAGGCCAGCCTGGCCTGCGGTGTACCCCCTAAAGCCTACGCCCCCCCCACGCCCCACCCCCATCCCCCGGGCCTGAAATCTCTGCTCCTTCCTTGTGCCCAACCAGCCTGGGGAAGCCCTCCGCACGTCCACCTGTGGCATCGGCCCCTCCTTCCCACCCCCTGGAGAAGAGGTTGGCAGTGACGGATGGCATTACCAAGGGTCCTTTCCTCGGGCACTTTATCTGGCTGCTTCTGGGTCTTCTCTCCCTGCTACAAGAGGCTAGGGAGAAAGGAGGAGGTGCAACCAGAATCCCCAAAAGGAGATGTTGTCAGGGGCTAGGGAGCAGGATGGCCGGGTTCCTGGGAGAAAGCTAGGCCTGAGGCACAGCGTTGAGGGTCGGGCAAAGAGGGTGAAGGCGGCACAGAGGACTCCAAGACCTCAACTGCAGAGTCCAGAGCATTGTGCCACAGAGGAGGCCCCAGCCCCACCCGCCCCGAAACCACCCCCAGTCTCAGTCCCTGCCCTTCTACCAGAAGCCCAAAAGGACCAGCACCGAAAGAAGGAAGTTGGTGACAGGAGACAAGATTGACAGGCACACAAGCAGACACGTCACAGAGAGAGACGCACAGATGCGTCACACCCCTGGGTGTGTTACACACACGCACCAACATACAGGCACAGGCACTGCCCCCTCCAAACCAGCAGGCTACCGCGCCACCCCCAAGAAATGGCTCAGCGGCGTCCAGAGGGGCTCATTCCCCACGTGTCCCCAAGCCCGGCTTCCCTTCTTGTCCCCGGCTACCCTGCTTGCTTGGGAAGGCACTGATGGACCCTCTCCTCTCCCCTCCTGGCTCAGCCACCTCTCCCCGACAGCCCTCCTGCTTTCTTCTGTGGCCTGGCTCTTTCCCCTCCCTGAGTTCTCTCCTTTCTGTCCTTCCCTCCACTTCTTCTTCCTGCCTCTACTTACCCCCCTCCTTCCTCCCATCTCTCTGCTCCCTTCTGCCTCGCCACAAGCCTCTCTCCCTTCAGGCCCATTCCCCTCCCCTCCCCCTCCCTCCATCTCTCCCTTTGCTCCAGAGGAGACATGACATCAAGAGCAAGTAAAAGTCACATCAGCACTAAATCTTATCTCCAGCCCTCAGAAGGCTGCGTCCATGCAGACACACAGACTCTCTCACGCACACAGAGGTAAACACTGACATACAGAGATGCAGACACAGATGTAGGCGCTCCTACAGAGGCACACCGAGATGTGGGCCACGCCACAGAAGACATGAGGACAGACGTGCACACACCGCCACACGCGCTCAGGCACAAGCCCACAAGCTTGGAGGTACAGACGTGCACAAAGGCACACGGACACAACCGAGCAGCAGAGCCTGAGGAACACGTGTGCACACAGATACACACTCTCTCTCTCTCTCTCTCTCTCACACACTGAAGGCACCCAAGGAGAAGAGACATCAGTAAGAGACAAGCCAAACCATGGACACCACAAGGAAAATTGGATTCCAGCCAAAAGCCCTCCCCTTCTTTCTCATCCAGGACTCCCCCACCCTGGGTGCTGTCCCCTGCCCCTCTCAGGCCCGGGCCCGGGGAGCAGCCAGCCTAGACTTGCTGCATCCCTCCCACTCCTACCCTCTTCTTGCTTCTCCAGGAAAAGAACACGGGACAGGTTTGGGGATGGTATCCCACCTCCCACCCACCTTGCTGCCTGCCTTCTGCCCGGTGGCCGCATGAGCTCCCCTGCAGCCCAGCCTCCATGCCTGGACCAGCCCACCGAGTCTTCCCAGCTTTCCCATCTCCCCCATCTCGTCCAGCCCCAGAGAAGGAAAAGGAGCAGGGCACACCAAAGCAAGAGGGGAAGGTTCAGAGAATGACAGGAGCCCAGAGAGAGCCTGGGGAAAGACAGAGACAGAAAAAGGTCCAGAGACAGAGCCCTGGAGAAAAAGAAAGGTAAAGACAGAAACGAGAGAGAGAGAGAAAAGGCAGACGAAACAGAAGACAGGGAAGGAATGGACAGAGGGACTCCAAAGAGAGGCAGGTTCCTGCCCTAGTGCTGGCCCTCGGCCAGGGCCCAAAGAAGAAGCAGACGGCCCCTACCTCCCAGCGCACGTGTCAGTCAGAGCAGAGAAGTTGCCACCCACCTACACCCAAGGACCCGGGGACACGGCCCCCCCACCCTCTGCCTGTATCCTTCAGACCCAGAGCAGAGTCACCCAAGCAGCCCCCAGCCCCCGGCTGCATGGCCCTCTTAAGCTCCCTCCACTGGGCTGGGCCAAAGGGTGTCTCCTCACGCACTTCTGGGCACTTCAGATCCTCCAACCCCATCCCTTCGCCCTCACTCCGGTCTCCTCCCTAAAGAAGAAGACGTGCTGGGCGGCAGACTGGCCCGTGGAAAGGCCTGCCCTCTGCCCGCCAGTTCTCTCCAGCAAACCAATAAGGAGGGAACAGGCGAGAGGTGAGGCCAAGAGAGCCAAGAGGACCCCCAGACATCCTTCCCCTAGGGGGCCCCCAAGCACGGGCAGGAGAGGGAGCCCTTAGGTGGCCAACGACACCCCCTCACACAGGACCCTGTGGCGATTGATCTACCACCCCAATGACAAAAAAGCATCACTCACCTTCCATGGGGTGCTCCTCTGCAGGCCAGCAAGTTCAGGAAAGGGCAAGGCAGAGAGAGAGAAGAAAGGAGGGCTGGTTAGTGCACGTACCAAGGACAGGTTCCCAGGGGGGTGAGGAGTTCAAGGTCCCTGAGCCCACCCAGGCCGGGCGGCCACCTGAGGCAAGGCCACACGCACAGGGTCACACAGTCCAGGAGCCCCCCCGCCCCGTCTCATGTTACATTTCAGGAAACTGAGGCCCGGGGCAGGGAAGTGACCCTCAAGGTCACATGGAGAATGGGAGGCAAAGCCCGGAGTGGCAGGCAGGCAGGGTTGCCTCTCCCAGGCACGCTCCTCCCCTGCGTTCCACGGTGCCTCGGAGACAGATGGGGACACGCTCACACAGGGCTTACCCGAGACACACTCACACTCGGTGACACACTGACACACATAGGCACTCAGCGATCCGGAGACACATGTCATCTCTCACGCAACCCACACTCGAAGCTTTTGCACACACAGACGCAACCACCGCCCCCTCCCGGCCCCAGGGGAGAAAAGCCGTCCAAATGCGGTCAGGTCAGAAAGCACAGTTCTGCCTCAAAGTGCCATGTGACTCGCATCCCATCCCAGTCACTTGACCTTTCTGAGCCACCAGTCCCTCCTCTGTAAAAATGAGACAGGCAGACTCGAATGTTTCCCAGGCCCCTGTGGCTCTGGTTCTGTGGTTCTAGGACAAGCAGTTGGGGGAGGTGGAGCACCGCCCCCCCAGCTGCAGGGGCCACACTGGGGCCACCCCTAAGTCCCGCCACAGCCTTTCGGTAGCCAGCCCTCCCCTAGGCGGGGCTCGGCCTGGGCCTCGGTCTTGACCTCAGTGGGTCTTGACCCCAGTGGGTCAAGAGAGAATGGAGACAGTTCCTTCAAAGAAGCTACAACAACCCAAGCAGGCCAGACTCTGGTCTGCCCTGGGAGAGGACCGGGTCACCCCCTTCCCCAAACATTTCTCACACGCCCACCTACTGGGAGACTTTAGAGGAAGCAAACAAGGGGGGCAGAGAAACAGCGCAACCTACAAACGCACAGACCCAATGGGGAAACACGCACACGCATGCACACGCACATGGGCCTGCAGGCCCCAGGATACACACATATACACACAAACAGCCGTTCGGCACACACTCATGCCCGCATGCACGCACTGTCTCTACCTCCAGCATCATTTTGTGTTATTTACTCAGGGGCTCTTAGGGGGTTAGCTCTACTCCAGAAACACACACACTGTCATTTATCAGACCTTATCCCACCTCCTTCATACACACACACAGGCTGAATGCAGAATCAATACCCACACAGTGATCTAATACCTAATATTAGATGCATACACCACCACCACACCCCACTCTCCCTCGGGTGGCTGAAGACTCCTGCCCTGTGATGAACATAGCCCCCTTTCTTTCTGTCTGTCGACCATCTATCTGCATTTCACGCAAGCCTTTACCTATCAGCTGCATCCCCCAAAGCTGTGTCTACAAGGATGTTCTTAAATAAACTGAATCGCATTGCATTTAGGGCAGGGGTTGCTATGCGGACTAGAAAGGGGCCCTCAGGAAAACCCCTGGGCTCTCTCGAGGAGCCTCACGTCAGGACCTCTTTGGCCCCAGTGTGCAAAGGCCCTGGTCAGTCAGCACAATCATCTCTCCAGCACCTGTACAAACAAACAGGCATGGTGATTTCTAAATAATCCAACATGGCTGGTATTTCAAAAAGTATTCCCACCTGCCACAAACGCGGGCCACGCTATCTATACTCAGGAAGGTGCAACAAGCAAGCTTGATTTGCTGGCTGCATGAGCCTTCCCTCTCCTGGCTTCCGAGACACAGCTCCTAGAGACTCATTGACCTCTCCTTCTCTGCTGCTCTTTGCTTTCTGCTGATTCACCTGTGTCCCAAACCTGCCATCACGGACCCCTCCAGGCTCGGTCCTATGCCCTCCACACTCCTTCCTTCTCCGTGCCCTCCTTTGGTGATAGCTCACTTCCGTGGCTTAAGGACTCCCCGACCGTGGGGCACCTGGGTGGCTCAGTCGTTGAGCGTCTGCCTTGGGCTCAGGTCATGATCCCAGGGTCCTGGGATCGAGCCCCGCATCGGGCTCCCTGCTCAGCAAGAAGCCTGCTTCTCCCTCTCCCACTCCCCCTGCTTGTGTTCCCTCTCTCGCTGTGTCTCTCTGTGTCAAATAAATAAATAAAATCTTAAAAAAAAAAAAGGACTCCCCGACCTGTGTTTGTAGACTGAACCTCTTCCCTTCCCCGGGTACCAGTTGTGTATCCCCATCTGGCTGCTCAGCAATTACTCGGACAGCTTCCCTGACATCCAAACTCCACCACTAAAGCCATGCTAATCTCAACCCCCGCAACCAAGGGCCCATTGCCCTGCATTGGGCAAGGGCACTGCTTTCAACCCACACTTCTTGAGCACCCACGAGGTACCCCCCACTCTGCCAGGCTCGAGATGCCTTTGGTTAGCCAAGTGGCCAGCACCCTACCGACCCTCAATAGGCGTCTCACGCATGACCCCTCCCAGCAACATCATGAGCTTGGTGGTATTACCTACTTCCTGTGGGCAGGGAAGGAAACTTGCCCAGCAGCACAAAATCACCACTAGACTTTGACCACGCCCCCACCCTTCACCTCTGGTTTTTCTGCAACAGCCTCCTCCTGGTTGTTCTCCCTGCCCATCCCCAACCAAGCTCTCTTGGCACAGGTGCCAGATATACGTGACAAAATACTACTGTGATCAACACACACGCACTCACACAAATTTGGCCATGCCTCCCTCCAACCTCCTTTCCTGCAACAATCCAGGCTCCAGCCACACCCAACTGCTGTCCATTTCCCTAATGACCCACATTTCTGCAAATACCGTTCCCTTGGCTTGAAACACCTTTCCCTATTTCCACTCCTCCCACCCTCAGCTCCCTAAGAAAGCCAGCTCTTGTTTTAAGATCAGGCCAGTATACCTCTGTTTGTGTTCCCAACTGGCCTCCCAGGCAGGGCTAGCCGCCCCTCCTCTGTGCCCGCTCTCAATATGCACATTGTATCCTCATTTCGCTTTATTGTATCTCCAACGCGAATTGCATTTCCATGTCTGCTTCCTGGCTGGACTGTGTGATATCCAAGAGCAAGGACAATGTCTCATTCATCTCTACCTCCAGCTGCCTGCACAGTTCCTGGCTCAGAAAAAGGCATGCCTATGTTTGTTGAATGAATAATCAAAAACACTTCTCACATACTGAGTACTTCGAGGGTGCCTGGCTCTTTCCATGCATTGTTTCCATCCCTTGCAACTACTACCTTGTCAATGGATGCTGCCATCACTCTCTTGTAGAGATGGGGAAACTAAGCCTCATAAAGTGGGAGAAACTTGTCCTGTGTCACACTGCCGGTGAGGGACAGAGTCAAAATCTGAACCCAAATCTGTCTGGCTTTAAAACGTCCCATGGCCTGCATTCTTGGCCAGAAGTCAAGAATTTTAGAAGCTGACCTGACTCTATAGTTCTGATCTTATCTCCCCCAAAGCACAACCATGTTGGTCTCCTCACCCGTCCGCCCCCCGCAACACACACACACACCCGACTCACATCTCCTAGACAGCGAGTTTAGGCTGTTTTCCTGGAGGGAAAGCCCCGCCTGTTCCTTCCACAAATCTCACTTAGCCCTCATTCAAGATCTAGCCAAGTCCCACGTCCTCCTTGCAGCCTTCTCTGACCACCAGGGTTAATGATCATAGTCGCCTTTATTGATCATTTAGAATAGTGCCTGGCCCATTGTAAAGGATTTCCACATAACTCATTGAGTCCTTGCAACAACATTTTAAACTCCATGTTGCAGAGTAGGACATTGAAGAACAAAATGATTAAGTAAATTGCCCAAGTTGACACACAGCAAGTCACAAACTCAGATTGGACCCCGGGCAGCCCTTGCTCTTAACCACGCTGCCGTTTGAGGCTTTCCTTGTGAGTATCTGTCTCATCTCTGGGTTCTCACACCAGCCACTCCCTGAACTGCTCTCTTGAGCCCAGAGCCACCTCTCTCGCAGCAGAATTTTTGTCAGGACCACAGGTATCGGATGTTACAGCTGACAGAGTGGTGCCACATACATGACCTCATTTACTCAACTTTCACACACAGAGGTCTTATCTGCCCCACCAGCGGGGCCCCACATCAGGCTCCCTGCTCCGCGGGAAGCCTGCTTCTCCCTCTCCCACTCCCCCTGCTTGTGTTCCCTCTCTCGCTGTGTCTCTCTCTGTCAAATAAATAAATAAAATCTTAAAAAAAAATAAAATAAAAACTGTTATCTCCTCATAGGAGAACCTCTCAGACCTTACCCAGAACCCACATACTGGTGGCGACCCACAACCCAACACGCTTGGGAATGCTGATTTCCAAGTTCGCCAACAGAGAGGAGAGGCCGGGGGGAGAGATGTGGGCTGCCACCTAACAACTCGTCCTAAGGACAGAGGTGGAAAAACTCATGAAAAGCTAATAGAAGAACTCCAAATACAGCAGTCAGGCATCATTTCAGGCAGGGACAAATCTCAGTGAAGGAACCACTGTGTGACAGCAGTCCAATACCTAAGGGGAATCACGACATCCTGAGTCATCCAGAAAAGGTTAAATCACTTTCAAAATATTATGCTTAGGGAGGCAGAGAGGTGTGCAACATATCTCAGAAAGATTTCCATCTGAAATGCTTTCAGTGTTGGTGAGCTGTGTATTTTAATGGGATAACGCTCCACTTTCCAGGGCGAGTTTCTCCCCAAGGGCTCTGGAAGACAGAGATTTTACTGACCAATTTCCACTGCCCTCTCCCGGTGCTGGGACAGCTGGCTGGCAGACAAAGGAACACCCTCATGGCACACTGGCTGAAGGGAGAGGTTGTGACCCGAAGAACTGGGGCTGGCTACTGGCTTCTGATGAAACGCTGTCCCTAAACACCCCAATAAACCACATGCAAGTAATGCACGGACACAGCTGACCGACT